TTTTAATGCTTATCCTTATCAAGTGCGCTAGTGCTATAGACAGATTCATATCTAACCACTTGCTCGTGCTCATATGTCTAACAAATTTGTTTTTCTCAACAGCGATTATGTGGACTTATTCTACTTATGCCTAGATTTGTTTAAAAGAAAGGTATACAACATTCTTTTAAGATTGTCTATTATTGAACTGAGGTGGCTTTTACTTGATGAAAATCCATTTATCAAAATAAATAAGAACTAAAAGTTCAGATTTTCACGAAATTACATATTATGACATGACAATTGTTTCGACAAATTAAATGTGCTAAAGACACGGTGTTGTCGAAACAATTGTCATGTCATAATATATAATTTCGTGAAAATCTGAACTTTTAGTTCTTATTTATTTTAATTGTCTATCAGCTTAGGAAATATGTAGTAAAATTCTTCCTAAGGCAGTTCTAGTTTCCTTGGACGCCCAAAATCTATTTTCTAGTATAAGCATAACAAATATAATACACAATATTCTCACTCAGAGACAAGTCAACACTCTATTATAAAACAAGACTTGTTAGATAATTTAATAGGTTGTTTAGACCAAAATTATTGTGAATTTAGTGATTTAGTGAATTTTATATTGCTAAAGGACACTTAGTCCACCCATTGAATCATATTAATTCAATATATAACCGTATAAAATTTACCATAGGCACGGAACTAGATAACTCTTTAAATTTTCTGGACCTAACTACAACTAAATTAGAGAACAAATTAGATTTTCCCATTTACCATAAACCCTCACACACGGATACAGTAATACATAATAACTCACATGACCTTCGCACCCACAAAATGGCTGCCTTTTATTCTTTTATCCACAGATTACTTAGTATAACACCGTCCACAATTTTTTTTTATGAAGAATTGAATATTATACATCAAATACCTTTAAACAATGGTTCCGATCCCTCTTTGATAGATAAGATTATAACTAAAAAACAGTTACAAAAAACTCTAACATCTATCTACACCATATTAATCACCGAACCCTAAATTTATAAAAAATAAAATATATAGAAGAACTTAGCAAGAAAATTTGGAAACGTCTATTTAAATGTAGTATTAAGATTAAACTGAAAACACCATACGATTTTTTTTTAACAATAAAATCACAATCATAAAAAAACTCAAAAATCCGGAGTCAACGAGTTGAAATCTGGACGAAGTATCAAAATTTATATCGAACAAACATTTAAGAAAGACATTAACGAACATAAAAGAGCGTCTGTAAATAAAAGTTCACAAGTTTGACAATAATTTTGATATTTTACATAATGAATCAAAAACACAAAACTAAAATTGTCATATTGTTTATTTGATAAAGGCACGGGGTTGCCGAAACATATGTAATAAATTAATACATAACTGTGAAAATCTGAACTATGTAGTGTGATATGTTTAATATGTGCTATCCTGTAATTGGGCAGAATCGTCTGTCTGTTGATAGCCTTTGGGTTTGTAATGAAATAAATAAATAAATGTGCTATGGACAATTAGAAAAAAATATTTCTGTATTCTTTGACGAATCAGAAAAATCACAGTCTACCATGTCAAGCAAATATTTAATAATGAAGGATTACGAAACCTACGGTGCGACAAAATTAGGTAGTTTAAAATTATCAATATAGCCTACAAAACCAAATCATTACACTTCAACCGCTATTCTTAAAGACACCACAGACCACAATTATTATTCACTACCATTTGCATAAATATAAGTCCGATAAATATTCACTGGCACCAGCATGAACCATACATATAATTTATTGATACGTTCGCGTCTTGTGCAAACACGCAAATTGCCACGATAAAGTGAAAGCTACTTAATAATACATCATTCATTACCAAATTGTCCACGAAAAAAGAATTACAATGAATAACACAAGCCCCATGCAAAAGTGTGTGTAGGTCAACTTCTTTAATTTGGGTTTCCCGGCAACATTGACATATTTTATTGATATTTTTGATTTTCTTAGACGTTGATTCCTTATTGGTATAATTAAAATATTATTCCAAGAATTAATTATTATTAATTATTGAAGTATCTGCTTAAAAAACAAGTGATTTAGAAGCAGAGAACAAAAAATTAATGATAATTAAAGTTTCATTTCTGGTAGCACCAAGCACCACGAATATAAAGAAGTTATTGAGCGCTAAACCAAGACCGTAGGACCTTAGTTTTTAGGAATTTTACTAATTTTATTTGCCCAAAAACAAACAATCTTACCTGACAGAAAAATAGCAGCCCGGATTATACATTCCCACTATTTTTTTTGCTTATTGTATCCAAGAAAGGTTTGTATAGCCAAATAAGTATTAACCAAAAGTACACCTTACCTAACTGATACTAATCAAATCGTCATCATATTTAAAATAGGTTGTGTGACCCACTAAAAGCGAAAGTGCAAAAATTTGCTTTCTATTTAAAACAATATAACGGTTATTACGGAGATATAATTAATGCCAATTATCTACAAAACCAAAATAAATTAGAAGTTAAAAAATATTTCACATTTTTAAGCTTTACTTTAAAAAACATTCGCGTAAATTAAAATTAAATATATGTGTATAATCTATGACTAACTAACAACTGATTACAGTAACGTTTAACACATTCTCGTTTTCATGGTGAATGGAACATTGAATGTGGTCTAGTAGTTAATGGTGAGGTTTACAAAAATTTTTAATTAATTTACAAAATTGAATACGGAATCTGCCCCTTTTCTAAGCAGATAAATATGAATTATTCCGTACCTAGAAGAATAATTATTATATTAATAATTATTTTATTTTCTGCAGTTGGAATTTTTTATATAAATATTTAAATTAAAACGGCGAGACTTAAAAACTTGAAGCAGATATCCGTAATTCATCCATGAATTTTAAGATTTGATCTTGTAAAAATAAAATCAGAACAAGAGGAAACACCAAATAAGGAAAGATCAGGAGCAAATCCGAAATAAAAAGAGATAAGTGATGACAAGAAATTACTAAGAAAGGAAAATCAAGAAATCAAGGGGAATAGAGAAATTACACTCCAGGTGAAGGAACTTTGAAAGTAGCGTGGCTAAAAAGGAAAAGGAGAAAAATAATGCTGGGGTAATAAGATGTAAAGAAATTATCAGCAAGAATCTGGCGATAATATTCTATGACCCAAATGAAGACGATAAACAACAATCAAGGACAAATTTTGGGGAAAAATTACGGACATGGTTGAAAAAATTAGTGATAAATATACTAATGAGAGGAAACCGCAGTATATATGCCTTAAATAAGTTATTAAAAAGTAAAAAAAAAATCTGAAAAAAGACAAGATGAGCGTTTACAGAACAGTCATAAAGCCCATTGTTATGAGGAGAACAGATTGGAAGTCTGCCAAAAGTAACCCTTACCACTCCAAATGGGGGAAAGAAAAGGCAAGAAAGGCCAAGGACAACATGAAAAGCACACGGATGAAGGGAGAAAGCTGCAAAGCAAAAACTGACCTGGTGGTTCACAGTGGATAGTACCTTAGACGTTTACGGCGAACGGTAAATTGGATTGTTCTGAAAATTTGATTAGTTCCATAAGCGATGCTTTGTGAATAACAAGTTCCTAGTGGTTTTCGAGAAATTAATTATTTTCCTAATTTTTCGACCAAAACATAACTTCAATAAAGCCAGTAGAATATTAAAATGTTGGAGGTACTGTACATTATTTCTTAATATCGAAATTAGTTCTATATCATACAGGGTTGGTCAAAGCTAATGATTTGCCTACGAGATACAAAATTCATGAAAAGTATATTTCTATAAATGGAATTCTCTGTATAGTATTACATATTCTAAGAGTAAATTAAATTTCCATTCGAATAAGCGAAAGTTTCTCTAAAAACTGGATTACTTTGACATCATCATCTTTTACATGACCAAGGACTAACGAAACGGATCCTGGTTTACAACACATGTACAAGAGAAAATTTGTTAGAATTAAGAAAAGCTCTACAAACCATTTTACTAAACACATTTTAGAAACTATTTTCATTGACAAAATGAATCCAGTTTTTACACTAGGGCTCCGAAGTGTTCACCATTGCAACTTAAACACATTAAAGTCTGTTGCACTGAACTGATAGTAGTAGCCTTCTTTATTTCGGATGGATCTATTTGTTCAAAGCATTTTACAATCCGATGACGTAACTCTTTCTTGCTCTTCCGCGAGTAGAAATCGATTCGTGACTTTAACGCAGCCATAGGTAAAAATGTAATGACGTGAGATCGTGCGATCTAGCCGGCTGGCACCTCTTGGGTGGAGTGAGTCGATGCTCCATCTAGTTGGTACCAAAAAGTAAGAAGTTCCTGGATGCTAAGAGTCTCGAGAAAATCATTCACCACTGTTCTTATGCCAGATTAATTCAGATTTCGGAGAAACTTGCTTTTATTTCAGAAACAATTATTGAAGTATAGACATGACAGATCATTCTAAAAGAATTTAATTTTCTCTTAGAATAATTGATAAAATACAGGGTGTCCCATTTAAAATAAAATGCAAATTCTATTCGATATATCATTAGGCTATGTTCAAAATTCGAACTTTCTATTACACGAACGTATTATTCAAAAATAATCATTATGATGTCAAATTTAAAATTTCAATGTTGATGCCACTTTTTCGAAGAAGCGGCAACATCGTTCTCTTAATAGCAACTTTAGAAAAAAGAAACGAAGGAAAGGACTTTGTTGATGTACGTTAGCAGCGTAGCGCACCAATGTATACGCACTTTAAGGTACCATCGTGGAGGTGTGTTTATTTTTTTTATTGATTTTTATTTTAAAATTGTATCTTGGCATTGTGACGTATATAAAAGTTCAATATTTATACATAAATAAATCAATTTTAATTTGAAGAAACTCCGATCGGGTGCATATACGAAGCAATAATTGGCATATTCAGAACGACCTAATTACCCTCCTCTGTTGCAGTACGACTGCAATGTAATCCTCATGGACTGGAGAATGGGCGCCAGAGGTCCTCAATATACTGCCGCAGCAGCGAATACGGAAGTAGTGGGCAGAGAGCTCGGCACTTTGCTGTTGACAATGGTCGAAAAAGGATTAGACCCCGCCAACATACATTTGATCGGGTTTTCTTTAGGTGCTCACGTGGCGGGAACGGCATCGGAAACTCTAAAAAGCAACGGACACCTTGTCGGAAGAATAACGGGTACGTTACTAAGCAGACAGGGGATCACCGCTTGCAGATCGGATAATCGGATTTCTTCCATTAGGTTTAGACGCGGCTAGTCCCTTATTTAGGAACGACCATTTTCGCGAAAAGCACAAGAAATTGGATAGTAGTGACGCGAAATACGTCGATATTATTCACACGGATTCTAGCCCGGTAAGCTAACACCCTTTTCGCCATAAAAATAGAATTATAAGGAAATTATCATGTCTAGTACAAGGTCTAGTTTGCTTATAATTCGCCACCCCTCTTAAATTTTGTATTTCCTGTTTCCAAAAATTTATCCAACTAATTCTGAAATGTTTTTAAAATATTTAGCTTCAAACTTGTTAAAATGTAGAAGCAGACCCCAAACAACTAGATCAATGGTATCTTTCTTTAAGGAAAAATGCATCGCTTTGATTACAATTGCAAATTCAATTAGGGTTTATTGCCAAAAATGGTGTTAGATCATTATGATGAAGATCAAAAACTTGAAATTATACGCATATTATATACCTGTGCCGCCTAGAAGGACATAGAAAACAGCAAGGGAAAGAAATTCTTCAAATAGGAAACTGATATTTTCAGTCGATGAAAATGATTTAATGAATTAATAACTTGTATTAATTTATAGACAATCTTAGAACCTCCGCTGAAATTGCTAGAAATTTTGGAAAGTCAAAAAGAGGATTCATTCAACTTTTAAGGAATGAAGATACCATTCTTACAAAATTTTACCCTTTCAAGAATTGATAGACGAATATAAGATTAAAAGCTTACGTTTTGGCGAAGATATGATGGGGTGTTTTCTATTTCTTGTAATAAATAAGTTGAGAGGTGGCGAATTAGGGGAGAGAACACACCCAGTACGTAACGCACAATAGTGCAAACAAATTTTCAGACCATCTGGGTATTAAATTTTTAAGTTTTAGAAAAGTCACCGTCATTCAGCAACATTGTATGAAATCAGTTAATTGTCAAAATTATATCAAAAAATCCGCCGCGAAAAACATATAATTTATCAGTCAAACAAAGATTTATACATATTTATACATATATAAAATGTAAATATATTTTATTAATACTTTGTAACGTTATTGGATTTATAGGAGTTAGAGTAGATAACGAACATTTTGAAACGAATTTATTGAAAGCAAATTCCTGTTAATAAATTTGTTCCGTCAAAATTTAAAATACAAATTATAAAGACATTTAGAAATTTTGGAAATTAAATTCTGACAATAGAAATCTTGTACAATCAATTACACTTTTTTTTTTCATTTTTTATTAGGTGTCGATCAAAAAATCCAAAATTTCACAAAATCCAAAAATTTTACATTAAATTTAACTTCAAATTAAATTTTCCCTCATTTTTATTCTATATAAAATTTAATAGTAGATAACTATAATAATATTTTACTATTAAAAGAAAATTTTATTTAAAGAAAACAAATTCCTGATCACTAAATTTGTTCAGATAAAATTTAAAATAGAAATTTAAATTTTTTGGAACAAAAAATTGTTTTTAATTTTCTTTTTTTGTTTTCTATTTTTAAGGGGGTTCACTAAAATTTCCCAAAATCCCAAAAATATTGAAATTTAACCAAAATTATTCCTTTTTTTAAATTCAATTTTCCTTCGTTTTTCTGCTATGTAAAATTTGATAGTGAGTTTGACCTCCACGTAAGTTCTTAAGTGTTGTTCTGTAAATATGTGTAGCATGCTTCGAACCAGACTATCGATATATGAATGTGGTAGATTCGTCCATAGCAATTTTACCTTAAGACATACACTTTGTACAAATACAAGGACTCTCCGTTATTAACGATAAGTAAAAATGATACATTTTAAGATACTTTTTTAACTTGCTTCCAGCATGTAGAACAAATTCCACTAAAAATGAGGCATTGAATGTTAAGAAAACTGCAGGCACACGTGGATTACAATTTTTTCTTGGGCACGTTTTACAGTAAATAGAAAATACACAGATGCATAGACGCCAATACCAAGTTCCATTTTTAAAAGGGTAAACTACTGGATTTAAATTTGGGCAAGAAATTGTAAGAGTAGGAATTAAGTCATTTTGCGTTAAACAAATTACAAACTTCTTCTTCAGTCCTCTTTTTGCCTCTATATCACATACATTCTCTGGGTTTCATTTAGATCCGTTATATTCACTTTCATGACTAACAGAAATGTAATTGTAACAATTTAAGTACTCTACTCGTACTAGCTTACCCGTCAATTTCAAAATTAAATTTCTGTTTTTTATCCTTTTGCTCGTAAAAAGCAAAAGATATTGGTATAGTGTATGCTACATTAATGATTTTCTTGACATCCAATACCTCATTTTTAATTGATTTAGTTCCCTATTTTAGTCGTTCACTGTAGTTGTTTGGTTATTTTGTAAGTAGACTGGGATAAAAATGTCCTCGTTCACTGCACTTTACGATGCAGGAAATCAACAGACAAAACATTATAAATATAGGTAAGCGTCTATTGGGTATTGCGATTTCTATGGCGCCAAGTACCCATGGTTTTAGCGCGTACTTCCTTGTGGCTAGCCTTTTTTTATTAAATGAACAGAAATGTCATGGCTATCTTCAATTTTTAGATAAAAATGTGAGAACTGGCCTGGATAAGGATTTTTCACGTTCAATAAATTGACGCAATCAGTTTTTTTTACCTTTCAAATTTTGATATATAAACTAAACATCCTGATTTTTTTTAAATAATTTTGTTAGCCTTGTTATGAGCTTTTCAAAACAACGCAACGCAGAAGAGTTATTTCAAATACATCTTTATCTTTAATTTTATATTTTTTTATAGAAACTTCAAAAATATTTCCGCCATTTTTTCTGCGTAGACTTTCTCGTTTAGATATTTTCAGCAAATTTCTTCGACTATTAATTTCCCAGAGCACCAAGGTGCTAAAATAATTATAATTTTTTCATCCATATCATAAACCCTATTTCTTATTATTCATTCAATAAATTGCCAACTTTTTGATCTTCTCTATATGTGGAAAAACTATACCAAAACTTTTAAATTTCTAAAGGAAAACTACGAAGTCATATTTATTATTACAAGTTCACTTTCCCGGGATTATTTGGCACTTGATTTTGGTGTAGACGGGACGCGATCGAGGTTGTTGGTTTTTTTTTATTTATTGTTTTAAATATAAAGTCATATAAACGAACAAGATTTCCGTGTTCCGGGTTCCGCGACAAAAAAAAAAGTTACTAATATGATATCGGCTGCAAATTATTTTAACAATTTTTTCGTCGATTCAACCAATAGTTTTGAAAAATATGTTTTCACCTCATAAAAATACCATTTCGGCAGACGTAGGACTTGCAAAGAGCATGTATTTAAATCCCTATGTATGTACAGAAGTAATATAATGTTGTCTGTCACTAAGAAATATTCAGCTGGTTCGGACGGCATTCCATGCGCGGTGTTAAAGCACTATTGTAAAACCGATGACATATCTCATTAATTATTCCTTTTTAAATGGATCCTTTCCCAGCATTCTAAAAAATGCTGTGATCACACCACTCTATAAAAAAACGTTGCAAGAATTATTTCAAATTATAGGTTTATAGCACTCCTATCCGTTTTTTCAAAAATCTTCTAAAAACCACTGCATTTAAGACTTTCAAATTTTTTGGAAAGTCGAGACCTTTTTTGCGGCATACAATTTGGTTTTCGAAAAAAGCTATCAACGCAGGATGCCATTGTCTCTTTATGCAAGCATATTCTTAGCAAGTAAGAAGAAAGGCAGCAGACAGCATGTCTTTTGGTTAGAGGTAACACCTTAAATTGGTTAAGCTCTTTTCTTGGGGGTTGTACGCAGTTGGTTAAATTGCGAGATACCTTAGGATTTGAATACGTCTCTGATTCCATGTCAGTGAATGTGCCTAGCGGTGTACCTCAGGGCAGATTACTCGGTCCTTTATTGTTTTAGTGTTTATAAATGACGTGTTTTCATCTTTTCCCTTTTTGTGGATGATGTTCCAGTTTCTACCCTTTCTGCAGCATCGTCTGAGCAACTTAGCATTGCAACCAAGACAACTGTTAAGCAAATGAAACATTATGCAGAAATTAACAAATTCATATTGAATGAAGGTAAAACTAAGATGATCGCCTTTTCAACGCGGGATTTAAATAAGAATTTATTAGTACGCTTCAATGAAAGCACAATCCAGCAGAAAAGTGTTGTAAAATTCCTCGGAGTTTATGCAGACACGAGACTCTCCTGGTTCAAACAGGTGAACCACATTCTTAAAAAACTTTCTGTTTACTGTCTTGTCATATGGAGGCTCCGCCATCAGGTTTCTTTCCCCTTGTTAAAAATGTACTATTTTTCGTATATCTATTCCTCTCTCAACTACGCCTTGATTTGTTGGGGAGGTTCCCCACGTGCGGAGCAAGTCTTTAGGATGCAGAAACGCGGACTATTTAAGCCGTGGAATTTTTCATGTCGAGACCTATTTCCACAACACTTATTGATACTTCCTAGTATGTACATACTAAATTGTAAAACCGCATTTAAAAGGAACTCTAATTTTTATATGCTCTCAAGAAACTCAAATATTCAGTACAATTTAAGACCGAATTTTAACATAAAAATACCTACACAACGACTGTCTCTTACACCAAATAGTCCCTTTGATTTAACTATAAAAGTTTATAATAAATTGCCTATCGAACTGAAGGTCAAACAAACAAATAAAATTCAAATGCATAATTATAAACAAATTGCTAGGCCACGCCTATTACAATATTAAGGACTTTCTTTCTTGTGATACCTTTTAATGCGTATTCGTCGTTTATCTAACATTATTACTTATTATTATTATTATTAATTAATTAATTATACTAAGAAAATATATCGATATCGAATTGAGCAATTTGAAACAACAACATCGGGCGGCATAAGAAAGAATCGCTTTAGCTTCTCAAAAAACTTCGACAGTCTACTGTAATATTATTTACAAACTGTCTAGATTCCTTTTGCGTCGGTTGTTGATGAATCGAACTTGCTGACGTGTCGCCAATCATCTTGTTGGCTACTTCAGAGCTTAACTGTAACTGTTTTGCCTTCTACTGGGTACTTGCTTATATACTGTTTGATGGAGCCGACCTAAAGAAAGGATGACTGATTCTCTTTTCACCAATATGAAAATCAACCATCTGAGACCAAGTTCATGTCCCTCCGTTAGCTCCGCCCTCCTTAAGCAGCACAGGTACAGAATAGAATTCAGACCACTTTCTGTTAAGCACTGAAGGATCCAACATGATGATTGACGAAACGTCAGCAACATCGCTTCATCAACATCTGACCCAGGAATCCGGAAGATCTGTAAATAACTTATGGAACTGAGTGTGGTTACTTCCTTCGAATTAAATACACCTAGTTAACAACACCATTACAGCTGCTTTATTAATAAATTTTCATACATGTTTTCCTACCTAATATTCGAATAAAAGAAAAATTTCAGACGGTATCACGTAAGGTTTTTTATCAACTTTAAAAGAATTATTAAACGAAAATTTCAGTTGATTGAAACATTACTTTTGTTAATACAAGAACAAAAACTGAATTAAAAAATCTAACTTAAGTAACAAAGTCTTAAACGATAGTTAAACCCATTTATTCTTGGAAGATCTTGCCCTCTTGGCCGAAAAATTTAGTATCCGATTTTCTTGTATGAATCGCTAGATTGTTGCTTTTTAATGACCAGCAATAACCTGCTATCATTGCAACGTCCCATCAACCTTGATATCTGCGTTCCATTTTCACTCAAGATTTTCGGGAAAGTAGTCAAGATGTGAGTGAAAAAAGTGTAGTTTTATATTCATATTGTATCCCATTTCCCTAAATTTCTCTAACATCCTCTAGACAATGTTTTTTATAATATGGATATTTATTTCCTAGAAAAACTTTTGTAACATCAGTAAGTGAAACTCATGTCGTCTTTTCAGATTCGATCATGGTATTCACAAACTCTTGATCTTCCTTTAATTTTGCAGAGAGCGATAATTTCCCCATCTTTATTTAAAACTTATATACCACATACCACCAATATGTGGATCCCAAGGTTTGTCTTGATCACCAATTTTTACATTAACATAAGCGTAGTAATATTTTTTAAACAGGGTGACGCACAAAAGGAACCACATACATAGCAAAATGTATCTGGAACTCTCACTAACCCCACGAAACGACAGCTTACAACAAAAGACTTTCTTAGAGACATGCCGCCACGACCGACACCCCAATATTTTGACTACATATTTGACAATCCGATAAACTATATTTTGATTTCGAGGATTCCCCTCTAATATCCTGTTAATTATGCATTTATGCAAAACATATGCCAGTGGCGTAGTAATTTCAATTTTTATTATGTTATGTAATGTTCCTATTTTTAATAGAATAAATATGACATCTCAAAAATTAATTTAAAAATGTTGCGTGAGAGAAAACATTGTTTTTCTAATAGGTTAGTCCCTATAGCTCTAAAAGTATGGAAAATACCAAATCACATAAACTCTGTTCGCCTGCGCACTATGTTATTACTTGACGGTATAGCCAAATTTCAGCAGAAATCGGTTGCAATTACAATACAACTTTATACTATGGGAACCTACTACATTTTATATTAGTTTCTTCGCAAATGAATTTTCAGTTCGTCACCGATGGATTTGGGATATGGGAACCGATAGGCCACGTGGATTTTTTTCCCAACGGGGGACAGGAACAGCCCGGTTGCAGAGATCCTCGTAGTTCTATCGTGGTAACCCATTTAGGTAAGAAACACATTACCCGCGTTAACAAAGCTATTTAGGGTCATATTTATATACCTCCTGATTCTGTTATCTTTATTCCTATTCATGACTTTTATAATCTATTTCAGAAAAGCATGGAGTTATAAAATTTCATTAGGTGTGCAAAGGCACTACAGAGTGACCCAACGAATGTTTTATTGTGTTGCAAAATTCTATTATTTTATCCATGGTTAGGGACAATTTATATGCTATCCATTAGCCAACAATGCAAATAATTTGCCAAAGGCATATCTGCAACTAACCAATTGCGATTTGCAAATGTTTGTGAGGAAATTAATACTATTTCTAGTATTTAAACTACGTATATCGAATTTTTTTAATTATCACGATTTGTAAAAATAAATAAAGAGATTGAATACAGAAACAAAAACGGTACAGTTAAAATATTAACATCTTAGGGAGGATTGACAACCCCAAAAACAGACACCATATCGTAGCCATGCGTCAACATTTGCTAAATAAACTTGAATCAGGTGTTCGATTTTTGATGGTAGTCACAGTGTGTTTTGCAATTAATATTTTTAATATACTTCTAGTTGTCTAATAAATTTTTTAATTTATTTACACACAGAACCAACCATTATTTCTTTTAATCAAATTATTGCAATCACTTTCTAAAAGTCCATCAGAGTTATCTGAAATTAAAGACGATACATTATCTGTGAAAGCTGCTAATATCGCACACATGATCAAACCCTGGAGTACTCCGTTTAAAATATTTCACATATTTGAAGTAAAATTTTTAATATTATTGTTAAAGTCAATATTTTGAAAACAAACGTATTGTTGCCTGTTCGTTTCAGACCCACCATAGATATCGCAGTACATCCAAGTTCTATTATCTATATTCTTTGAAGTATAAAATATTGCAACTGCAATATATAAATTACATATCCAATATAATCCACAAATAATTACTATTTTCATTGTTTTAAGTAATGTTATAATGTATATACAGGGTGTACTAAATATATAACAATGTTTTTTCAAGCTGTCAACAAACTTAAATTTACTGTCGCCTACTGCTGATTAATGCTTCACATCTTCTTTGCATACTTGAAATTGGGTTCCTGATTTCGTCTTTTCCAATTTCATCTCATATTTGAGTTAGGTTCAATGACAGTTAATTTAAGTCTTTCGGTGGAGACCTTAGGGCTCTAACTTGTCGACCCTTGTTGTCTCATCCTTCCAATTCCTCGAGGTAATACTGCACTCCCCTAGTCACGTGGAGCCATTATCACGTATCTATAACATTTGTTTATTGTTTGTTATGTTTCGGTCAGATATTGAACGACCTATCCCTACCCCCACCCCTTACCATAACAGAAACACCTCCGTAGCTGACAGTTCCGGCTATATTGCATTAAACGTATCGCTCGTCGGAGCATCTATATATTCTGGTCTGGCGATCACCGCTAAAACAGTTGAAGCTCTCTAGGAAGTCGTATTGTACCATATTGTGGCTAGTACAGTAGTTGCACCCAAGAGAAACTTCCTTCTGGAGTACAATGCTAGTGGTAATCAATGTCGTATTGCCTCTACTCGCAAAAATGGATCTTGCTAATTTATTCTGACCCCGATTCATCCTTGTCTAGGTATTCTTTAGTTTCCGCCAGTCTCTTGATACCGTGTTCTAGAGATGGCAGATTGTAGGTTACTCCAAATCGCAATACTACTTAAATTTCTGATATGCCTGTTTCCACAAATGTTACCACGCGACACATTCTTTAGGTGGAAAATTTCTCATCTCAGGCGCTCGTTAGATTAAATTAGATTGATAAGTTTCAACATTACAATAGGGATATTGATAAGAATAATAAAGAATTCAACATTTTTGGATTTTTTTTTGTGTCTTCTTCGCCTAATCCAAGAAAGAATGCATTGATAAAGTTATGATTTGCCAGAAAGACATAATTTTAAATCATTCTTCCCCTTATATTAGGCTATACATTTCTTAAAGATAATCTGGTGATATGGTGGCCGCTAGTCCGTCTTCTCTGTCTTCTCCACCGTACGATATGCTGTACCCTGTTGATTCTGTCTCTTAGTATTTTCGCCGCTGTTGATCTCAATGTTCTCGTTTCTGCTGTGTCGGCTCAGGTTTCTATTGAGTATGTTCTTATATGGAGCATGGTACTTTTCCACCATATTTTTGTTTCTCTAAATAACATCCCTCAAACAACCTGATACATAGGCTTCGCTATCCCAGGCAACCAAAACAAGTAGATTAAAACCAACCAAAAAAGCTAAAATGTCCAAAATTCGTCGCTTAGTTGAATAAAGACTTTACAGAATGATGCATTACGTAAGTTTGTCCTTCCATTTGGCGTCATTTGAGTGCGTAGAAAGACGTATCTTTTTATAACACTTATATAACCCACTTTCCGGTGTCGGGTGGTGTTTAGGCAATTAAAAAGAATAAAAAAGTATGCTTCAAACAAAAAAAATAATTTGAAGAACAAATCTTATTCTTCTTAAAATTAAGATCACTAAATAGAAAAATTAAAAATATTTTTTTTAAAGTTACTTTTAATTTCCTCCTAAAGTTAGTTTTAAAAACTCACATGTGATTTCAAACTTCCTAAAAAAAAAGATTTTATTAACGGAATGTTGATAAACGGGGCCAAAAGTGTGTTTACCAGTAAATCTTAGGTGCACATTGCCACACAATGATATTCAAATATCTGTAAATGGACAAAAAATGCAAGGAAATATTAAAAAATTTTCACTTTGGTATTGTTAATTGGATTTAAACGCCAACTGGAACGAGTATTGCTTGTACTGTTGGCAGTTTGATCAAGTGTGTGATTGACTCTCTGAACCTAAAAATCAAATAAAATACGCTGGCATTCAATATTTGATGTCAGTTCAAAAACCTTTTGTTTGACAAAATCTTTGTGAAAGTAATAAAAAAAAAAGAAAAATTGAAAGTAAATAATTTATGCACGTAAACAAAACAGCAGATATTTATGAAATTTTTGAGCTTTATTTTAACTCCCTAGTCATTCCATAGTTATCTGAAAGACCAACAATTTGTGTTATTTAGTAAAAAACGTCTACAAATTCTGAAACGGGAAACTCCAGGCAAGGCAAATTCTATGCCTGAAAGTTGTTTAATGTACCTATGCATGTTCGAGTGTTTTCGCCAAAATTTTACATTTGTTTCCCAATTTCACAAAATTACAGATTCGGCATTTATAAAACGCCTCGCTCACCTTTAGTATAAAATCATCGTTTAAAGGGATAAAGATCCCAACTATTTGCATTAAGTTCTTCCTGCCTTTGCAAATATTCCTTGCAGTGACGGCTGCCGATAAACTTAACTTGATATACTTCAATATCATGATATATTGACCGCTATTGATGCACTTACGTCATAAGCGACCATAGATATTTGTTTAGTTTAGTCACTTCCAACGATTATGACATTAACGAATCCAATATAAAACCCTTACAGTTGAAGCAAAATTGAGCAGCAGAATGAGGTTAAAAGCACTGCTCCATTTCCTACATTTCGTCTTTATAACGTTTTTTGACGCCTCAGCTTGGGATTTGCCTGCTTCCATACACTTTCTTTCTCCGTAGTTGAATATTTCTATTCCCATGTATTCGAACCTGGAAAATTGTTCGACTATTTCATCGTTAATTGCGATTTTGCATCGTCTGGATTTTTATTTATTTTAATTTTTTATTTTTATTTCTCCTATAATTTTATCCATTATTAAGTTCAATGAGAGTCGGGTTAGGCCATCTACTTTAGATTTTATTTCATTGTCAACTTTAATTTTTCATTTTCCTGACTGAAAATAGCATCTATTGTTACCTGCTTTGTTCGAAGCCTTGTTGCTCTTCACAAGTTAAAGTTAAAGTTAAAATTATTTTGAAGTATTCAGGGTGGTTCAAAAAAGTGTGACGAATTAAACATACAGTTTTTTTAATGGAACCCGCTATTTCTTAATTTGTTTTGAAATTCCTCAACTTTATAATTAAGTATAATACATAAATCACCCTAGTAGTTTTTCTTATATTATAATTTAAAAAAAACTAGCATTCACACTTCACACACGATAGCGCCATTATTTCTGAAGGTATATTACTTATATTTGAAATTAGATTCGGAGTTAAAGTAGAAGATATACGCAACGGAATTTGAAATAGATGTCACACCATATATATTATTATTTTTTCTGAAAGGTCTTACAAAAGCTTACAATTTTTATTAAGTATATATCTATTTTTAATATTTTTTTAAATTTATCAATATTTACTCTTCTTTCTTTTTAAGACTATTGCTATAATATTGAATGGATTAATTGCTTCCTGGGAAAACTTTATTTTAGACAAGAAATTTGTTCAAAATCACGACCTAATTGTTCTTGGTGTAGTTCCGTGTGTGTTTTAGTGGTGCAATTAACGGTAGAATGACATGAATCATGGCTGGCTGACCTAGGGAGTATCTTGATCTTGAAGTATAATTTCCAATTCTTTTTCCTCATTGGTAGGTAGTATTCCGGTTTACCACTTTCCATGTTTCATATGCAATACTACAATTAAAACTAAACCCTTTTATTAAACACAGAAGAGATTGTATCTAGTTGGTGTACTTCGCCTTGTAAAGCTAAATGATTATTCTATTAATTCAGGTTTAGGAAAATCCATAACATTTTTTTTATTTTTGAGTTTATTTACTCAGTTGTCAGGTAAAAAATTGACAATGTCATATTGTCAACTGGTATATGACAGTTAATAAAAGTTGTGCACTTTTGTTAGATCTTTCAGAAAAATATTATAATATACATCGTATGCCACTTAATAAAATCGAGATTTTTCTATGTTCTAAATTTATTCACTTATTTTGAACATCAATCAAAATGTGTTGCATATGTCATCTTCGAGTAAAAAAGCTACTGTCAAATATGAATGATCTGACTTTAAAGTGTGAAAACAAGTATTTTTTAGAAAAAATATTTTTTTGAAAAAAGTATTATTTTAAAAAATTTTCATGCATTTTTTACCAGCTAGTAATTCCATTTATTTTACTTGTTCTTAACTAATTAAACCAAGCTAACCAAAACCAACCAACCAATCTGGCTTAAAAAATAATAGCGTTATCGTAATTTTTTTCATGTGTGAAAACTAGTATTTTTTATTTATTTGAAAATCTATTGAGTTTAGGTATGTATTATGATTAATAAAAGAAAGTTAAAGAATTTCAAAACGGCCTCAACACAAAATTTGAAGGTAGGGTGTTCCATTCCAAAAAATGTATGTTTTGTTCGTCGCGCTTTTTTAAGTCACCCTCTATACTTTATAATAATTTTAAATTGTGCATCCTAATAATCTTTGTAACTTTTGTATTTACCATTTTCTCATAATTGTTGAAACCAATGGGATAATGAACTTTACTCTATCGTTCACTCACCCCATATGTGTTAAGTAAGGTGATGGTACATCTATCATAAATTTTCATCAAAGAGATTTTATATCTTAAAAAATATGTTTTGCTTAGGTTTAGGTAGCATTGTTACTACACTTCTGTTACACTTAAAAAGCAACAAAATTCCGAAACAGACTTACGGTGGGAGTCGACAACCCTATTACGGATTAAAGATAAATATAATTCCCATTACTATCGTCATATAATTCTGTTTTTAGATGCCTAAAATAACGATAAGAAACGTGTTACTAAACATTCCAGAAGGGACGTTGAATAGAGAGACGGCTTGCAGTCACGTCAGGGCTTTCCGCCTTTTTACCGAAACGTTGCTGAACAAAGCCAACAACCAAAAGTGTCGGTTCATAGCGTTCAGTTGTCCGGGAGGCCTTCAATCCTTCAACAAAGGACGCTGCTTTCCCCAATTGTCTAACGGCAGACTGGACATAGATCCAGCGTACAGGACGGACGAGATAGGTCAGTTCGGCGAAGATGGCAGCGGCGGAGGCGTAATGTATTTTGCAACCCGAGATTCCAGCCCCTACTGCGGTAAGTTCACTTCTGATGTCGCGCACCGGGTTAAACGTAACATGATAGCTAACTTAAATGTTAAAGATGTTGTATACTAACTTTTTCAATTTTTAAGTGATCAGGAATAAAGTTAAACTTTTTGTATATTCTATAAAATTATTGGTGGTGATCCGGGTGTTCATTTCTTTGTCATTTGATCCTAGAGTAGGATCGGTTGAGTGACGTTTCACCGGAATTCAACCTGGAATCTCCAGAGGCTGCGCGTCCATGTCATTCCAATTTGTCCGCACTTAAACGCGCCATATTCAGTTTCTAAACTTGCACAAATGTAATTCAATTTTATTGGTACTAGATACTTAGCTGCAAAGTGAATAGGAAATTCTTAGAGATGTAACATGTGAATGGAATGAAGCTAGATAATCTTCATATTGCCGAAACTATCTTCATTCATAAGATTGATCTTGGATTTTATATATTATTAATATAATATATTATAATACTCATTTCCGAAGGAAGTGTGAATGTTTACGTGACAGAAAAGCCTTTTTCAACCGAGTGACAAAAAGGCGATTATCTTGGAGTAAAGACCGAGTGGGAGGGTCACAGGAACCGTTTAATTCGGTTAAAGTTTTTCATACGATCAACCACGCAATTCTAAAATCCATAGACTTATCCAACACGCCGTTGAATCTTGTTCAGTCTTTTGTCAGGAAGAATCCAATGAGTCAAATATAATAATCATCTTTCGCATTCCAGAGATATAAGGATGGTGTATCACTTTTAGGACCTCTTCTTTATATTTGTTTCACCTATAAACTGAACTCAGTTATTAGATATTGCAACCAGGATTATATGGAGAGGATACTGAATTACATATCTTTTTCACCAGGTAACTATGTATTGGCCATGGATATGATCGACGAAGACATATCTAGTGTTGTTAATTGGTCAAATATCTGTTCTGTCAAGATAAATGGCAAAAAAAAATATAATATAATGGTTTTTGGATAAAACAAAAGTAAAAAAAAACTTCGCAAATAAGACTTTTTACAAAAGTTGATAACGAAAGTATCAATAAAAGCCCAAACGTTGGATTGATATTTGGCAACTCTTTGAAATTTAAGCCACACATAAACAATTCCGTGAAAACGACATTCATGAATCTGAAGCAAGTGTGTATATCAGGTAAGGCAATATTTAAGTCAACAAATTTTCTGCGAATCTTTGGTATTGTGAAGATTTAACTACGGAGATCTTATTTATGGACAGACAATTCAGGTAGTACAAAATTCACGTCTAAGACTTATTTGTGTTATCAGAAGAGCACAACATATTTATCATAAATTAAGTGACAATAAAATTAAGTGGTTGAACCTGAGACGGAGAGGAATTATCCATGCAGCGTGTATATTTCATAAAGTCGTATTAAACAAAAACCCAACCTATCTGTAATAACCGCCAATTAAGATAACGTCATAATTATTTAAAACAAGTGTACAATAACTATTCTGATTCACTCGAGCTGAAAACTTTGTGACAGTATTTAAAAAATAAATAAATAATGTTTATATTTTTCTATTGATATATTCTACTAATTATTTAAGATATTAAAATTTTAATAAATACTCTACATTTTCTCCGCTTAAGATGAAAAACTAATATGTAAAATATTCAACTGATCATCAGCGTTTCTCTGGCACTCTATTCTATTTTTTAGTCTAGTTTGTAATTTTTTTTTTGTATTTTGTTGATTTGTGCCGGAAAATAAAGAGACATATATTTACTTATTTACTATTTAAGTTTGATACTCAATAATTAAAAATTAGCCTCTGTGTTTCGGCGCGATTTCCAAATAAAAGTTTTTAGGGACGCAGCTCCAAGTTTCCGCTCACATCTCTCAGAAAACAGGACCCGTTCGGGGAGTCTTGCAAATGCAGATGAATTATCTGCAGTATTCGCTCGACGTCCAGATGAGAATAGAGTAAGTTGCGACGGAAATATGTGGCTTCGGTTTTATGTCACAAACCTTTTAGATCGGCGGATCTTGTCATGACGGGAGCGGTAATGAACGCCATTGTCGTAGCGGAATATGATACGCTCACCCCAGAGTCGGTTAAAACAATCAAAACTAAACTCAGCTACTTCGATTTAGAAATGGAGACGGGCAGAAATCAGAGTTCATACGCTGCCGCCCTATACGTCGACAAAATTATCGTCAAAGACATGTTGGGCAACAGGTACGTCATAGAAGTTTACCATTTTACAGAGTGTCACTGATTGGTCAATTGCCCGGTCAATTATTAAATGGTCTCAATTGACCGTCGATTGAGTAATCCTAACACTAGCATTTAATGAAGAAAATCAACTTAAATTACTTCAGGAAGTTCTTAAAAAAAAGAGTTCTGTTAAGGAGATGCTCAGAAAAAATAAATATCAGAACGAGACGTTGATTTCCGCCTTCTGCATGTGGATGCAAGAGCAAATATAGAAGATCAGCGTGATTTCTATAAACACATTCTTTTTAGAGATGAATCCACGTCCACAAAAAATGGTGTTGTCTCTTCCAAAAATTGAATTTCGTTATTCGTTATAACTTACATTTTTCGGAAAACGCATATTTTTGGAAAAATTTTTGTTAGGAAAAACTATGGTTTTTCGAGAATGGTTACCGCATGGTTAAATAGAGAATTTGGTAACAAATAGTTGGACGAAATACCGATCCACGGTGGCCTCCCCGATCGCCAGATATCACGCTATTAGATTTTTTCTTATGGGGATCTTTGAACCGAAATGTTCGACCATTTAATTATATTGAGGAACTTGAAAATTCAACAAATGTACTGAGAACAACAGTTAGCGAATTTTACATTTGACAATTACAGAAACGTTTCGATCATATTTTATTGTTTCTGCTTTGCTAATGTGTTTTTATTCATAATTTGTCCAAATTTATTGTTTTCTGTTGTTAAATTATGTAGTTATAAAGGAGTTAAGATTAGTCCGTAATTTGTTATTTATTTTAGTAAGTTTTTCATAGTTATTTGCGACTTGTTACCAGGTATTCCGGAAAAATTGCTCCAAGAATAATAATCAATATAAAATGTTTGTCATGCCACTAGATCAATAAGTAATTAGTAAGCTCAAATATGAAAAAAATGCTTCCGTAGCTTTATTCGATAGTATTTTGTCCCTAGGAACATTATCGGCAATTATCGTTCCGCAAAATAATAAAATTAAAATGCATAGTCCGAAACACGATAAATTGTAATAACTGTAATAATGTTATTGACGTTTTTATCTGCGTTATTATATAATGCATAATTATATAAATAACAAATACATATTAAATAAAATTAGTAAAATTAGTAGTCGGAATAGTTTGAACCTGTGTTATCACTATCATCCAATATAATTAATGATTTTTGGTCGTTCAAATTTTATTTCTAATTATTTTCAAATAAATGATTAATACATTCATTCCAACTGCTCTCTGGTATTAATTTACACTGACATTTTGGGTTAATATTATTGCGTCTGACTTTGTTTTTTTAATTCGGCCCATATCTTTTCCACGTGATTCAAATCCTAGTGACAAGGTTGTTAAACTAATTGGTAGATTACCGTATTTTTTTATGACCTCGAACGAAATATTTTTTTTTACGATTTGGTTCTTAACACTCCACTTAATTGGTTTTGTGTATAAGTTTCTAATAAGGTCCTGCTGACTAAGGAATACTTTGCAATACCGTTGCGTGGTGGGATATTTGGGAGAAAAGAATTTTTTACCCAATTTTCAAAGCAGTCTTTAATGTTTTCTGCTGAAAGTAGCAAAGCGTTCCCTCGAGCCAGAAATTCCTCATAATGCAGTTCGATGAAAAATTTTGCTGTGAAAATAATATATATTTTGTTTTTCTGCGCAAAATCGATGAATCGGATTTAAATATTTTTGCCTCCATTCTACCAATCGTTGGGTCTCTTTAATGCAAATGCTTGCCAATATTGTTAAATCTAAATCCAATTTTGTTCAGAAATCGGCGGAATCTTTTACGACTGAGAGTAGATTCACCATTTTCTTTTAGATTTTATTGCAATGATTCAAGTGACGGAGTCTGGTTACTCTTATACTCATAAATTCTACTTTCCTATACTTGTAAAACGATTGTCTTGAAGCACATATTCAAATGACACTTTCTTTTTGGTTCGTAACTCCATACTCGTTAGTCGTTAAACATAACAAATGATTTTAAAATTTCTAAATGCTTGTAAATCGGCTTTTTATTGGTTTATTGTTCAGTTTATTGAGAGTGATGACCATTTATTCTATGCTGGACTAAACGTTCAATAGTTGGTTTTTAGTGGGTTTCATTTACCTCTAGAGCGACCCCCAAATTGTCAACGCCTTAATTTTTGAAAAATTTTAATCGTTTCAAACAAACTCCGTTTTAAACGATTAGACGAGCCGTTTTTAGGTTACTTGTATGTTTTATGAGATAAAATTCAGGGAAAATGAACAAACACCCACCTTCAAATTTCAAGAGCTTAACTTTTGACAAATTTCGATAGGTTAAAACTGAACTTTGTTTCGACAAGCCATTTTCAAAAAACAGGGAGTGCCAAGCGTGCCATACATTTTTTATTTTATAAAGATAAAATCCAAAATTTGGTATGTCACTATACGAAATAAATGCAAACTCAATAACGTATTCAGCTGTTTTCAATTACTTCCGGTTTAACCGGAAATGGCCGCAATTCTCTCATTTTAACTGATATTCATCAAATCTCAAAATTATTTAATTTTGAAAATTGGGAACCATAATAGGTGCTGATTTTTTATTAAGAATCAGATGCCAGATGCTTTTAAAATTAAAAAAAAATGGTTGTTATGGTAAACTACAGAGACTTATAAAAAATACAAAAAAATATATAATTACAAACTTAAAAACTCAATTCCGCTATACTTATGTTATTAAATATTCTCTAAGATAGTCAATACCCTCAAATGAATTATCTGCATCTTTCAAATCCCCTCGGTTTTCAGGACGCTGACCATAAGTTAGGTCTGCGATTTGACCTCATAAATAAAAATCACACAACGCGAGATCCGCAGATCTGGCTGGCCTCTACTATTTTAGTATAAGTTATAGTGTTACATGAATATTATAATTTTTTATAAGGTAGAATACAGAATAAACGAGACCTAGCTGCACGAGAGTGAAGTACCCTTATTTTAAAAAATTAAGCAAAATGTTATTAAGAAAATTTGTTTAGAATAAAAACCTATGTAATAATATTAAAACAGGGAATACTAAGATAAAAAAAGTTTTTATATCGAAAAATATTAGTAATTGCTTTGTTATTGTATTTTTTATACTGTCGAAAATTATTCAAAATCAAATGTTTGCTCCAATTCCATCTTATTTGTAAAATAATATTTTTAGTCTTTTAGCGAAACACAAATTTCATATTTGTTGCAACGATATTTAATAACACTTCCTTCTTAAGTAGCCGAAGTATTGCTAATTATAATAGATATACTAAGGAATCACCATTTGAAGAACATGTAAATCTATTAATGAAGAGAAACATTTAATCGCAAATAAACATTATAACGGTCAAATTTTTGAACAAACATCGGGAACAGCTATGGGTTCTCCACTATCACTAGTCATCACGAATATATATATAGAAGCGAAGGACAGTAACGGGGCTACTGGTAACACACAAACAAACTGTTAATTATTGGGATCACCCCAACTTCGATGGATCGCCGTAAAGGGAGCAATAAAAGATGTTGAAGCTCAAAGCAAAGTGGCAATTTATTGTAATATCTAGCTTTCGCCCATGGATACAGGCTTCATCAGGACACTAAGTCATATAGAGAACAAAAAAACACTTCATCGGAGTTAACAATCTAACCAAAAAATAGTGAAAAAAAACTTACACAACACGCCTCTTTCAACCTCTACATATAGAGAGATGACATTGGTATATAAAAGAAAGTGTTTCGCCCGTTCTAACTATCAACATAACACTCGATGGATGAAATTTATGGAAAAAATTTACAATTGTAAAAAATATTAACATCCACCACAACGTTACAAAACAATCACACTAACATAAAACGTTAAGGTCAATAAAATATCCGGATTGATAAAATATTAAAAGATGAAAAAAAAAACAGCCGATTTGTTACAAATGACACTCCGTATTGTCGAGAAGGAAAACTAAATGTGCGGGAACTTATTAACAATTCGCAACAACCTAAAAAAAGCCACAACCAAAAAACCAGTCAATGATACCAACTGTACAGCCAACCATAACATATGTAAAACACCGAACAAGGGAGGGAATTTCAAACAGAATTCTTTCAAATATGCACCCATTGTACACTATTTATATAACTATGTTTACATTATTGAAGTTAACGTTAAGGGTAATTAGAAACAATCCTTTAGGAACGGGGAGAAAGAAACAAAGAAAGGAAACTGTTTTTAAACATTAATAGCAACAAATTTAGCAACCCACTACAACCTGACCGTATCAAAAAACTCTGGTAGCTTATGCTTCGCAGTACGACTCTGATTAAGAAGATAGGTGTAGATGCTACTAAGACCCTCAACATCCTTCTTTCTGTTAAGGCTATTACTACAACAGTTAATATAACACATCTCTAAAAACTTACGTTTGAAGAGGTTCTTTTCACTCTTTAATACTACCGCTTCATCGTACATGACACTATGTCCGGTATCATTGACATGAGCACTTAAACTAGTAATATTTGGTTTTAACTTACAATCACTTTTATGAAGTGTTAGCCGTTTTTTTAACTTCTGTGAAGTATGACCAATGTAAATTAAATTGCAAGAGCATTTAATGCAATATACAACATCTGATTTATGTAACGATGGGGTAAGGTCTTTAAGAGTGGAATAGAAAGATTTGAGGGGTCTTAAGTTGTAATTGGCAATTTTTATATTAGTATTTTTAAAGATCCTAATCAGAGCCGGGGACAATCTATCTATATACTGTAGTTTGCCAAAACTAGGCAACTCATTATTAACATTAAGCTGTTAAGCTGTGGTTGTAAAGCATTAGGCAGGTCTGTAGTGGCACTATTACAGGAGAGAATTTTATTTATTAACGATGGTGGGTATTTATTATTAATTAGTAGGTTCCTTAATAACAATAAGTTCTTATTTACCAGACTATGGTGACAAATTTTTTTAATGCAATCAGTCAAATCATATTGATCTTTTGTTTTTTAGGGTGATACGATGTGAAGGGAATGTATCTACCGGAACTAGTAACTTTTCTATGCCAATCAAGAATAACTAAATTTTCACTAGTGCGAATGACCTTTGTGTCAAGGAAAGGGACTGAACGATCTGTCTCCGTCTCCACCGTGAAAGTGAGATCGGAATGAAAGGAATTGAAAATTTCAAGTGTGGATTCGATGAGGTTAAGTGGAACTGCTGTTAATAAATCATCCACATATTGATATATGAAGGGGAATTCAAAACTAACTCTGTCTATCACATAATAAAGTAATTTGTTCATAACAATCTCAGCAATCACAGGGGAGGCCGCACCCCCCATAGGAAGGCCCTTCACTTGTTGGTAGAATTTTCCATCAAATGAAAAAAAAGTATTATTATATAGAAAAGTTACCGTATCCAAAAACTCCTTCTTAGGTAATGTACAGTTGAGCTCAACCAAGTCGAAATGTTCCTCTATAATATCAACAACTAACTGTAATGGAATATGAGTAAATAAGGACACTACATCGAACGAGACAAGTGAAAAATCAGATGGTAAAATAGACTCATTAATACGCTCCGCAAACTCAAAGCTATCTTTAACCCTAAACTTATTGAAGCTACTAAAAGACTTATAAAGAATTTGACTGATAAATTTAGCTAAGGGTTGCGTCGACGCACCTACACATGAAACAATAGGGCGTAAAGGGTAACCATCTTTATGTATCTTCGGCAACCCATATTATTTGGGGCAGACACCATTGTAGGTTTTGAGGTTACGAGCCGTGGTATCATCAATATAGCCAAGGTTGTTAATTTTCTTGATAATATTATTGCATTGCGTTTCTATTGAATGTGTAGGGTCCCTTATTACAGGTAGGTAAGTGTTAGCATCATTTAATAATATGAGAGATTTTTCTATGTAATCTTCTTTAGTCATAGCCACCGTGACATTACCCTTATCAGATTTAGTGATAACCAAGTTAGGATTAGCCTTCCTGTGTCACCTCAACATATATCTTTAAACTACTCTCTGAGGTAGAAATCATTATCCAGAACTCAGATGAACAAAAACGAGACCTCCTGCGAACGAGGGTCACTAATCTCATCACTAATTACATTAATTCTAGTGTTGTTGCTAGTGTCGCCCCACCTACATATGATATAGAGCGTCGTACGAAACGATTTTTAAAAGCTAATCCTAACTTGGTTATCACTAAATCTGATAAGGGTAATGTCACGGTGGCTATGACTAAAGAAGATTACATAGAAAAATCTCTCATATTATTAAATGATGCTAACACTTACCGACCTGTAATAAGGGACCAAGGGACCCTACACATTCAATGAGCTTCAACATCTTTTATTGCTCCCTTTACGGCGATCCATCGAAGTTGGGGTGATCCCAATAATTAACAGTTTGTTTGTATATATATATATATATATATATATATATATATATATATATATATATATATATATATATATATATATATATATATATATATATATATATATATATATATATATATATATATATATATATATATATATATATATATATATATATATATATATATATATATATATATATATATATATATATATATATATATATATATATATATATATACATACATATATATATATATATATATATATATATATATATATATATGTATGTATATATATATATATATATATATATATATATATATATATATATGTAAACTTTTTGTTCCAAATATCCCCATAAGAAAAAACCTAATCAGGTTTGTTACCAATTTAATAATAATAATAATAATAATAATAACAGTAATAAATGTTACCAATTTAATAATAATAATAATAATAGTAATAATTCTAGAAAAATGCGTAGGTCATTCATCATTGTACACACCATAGTTTATGACGTTCGAAAATTCCGATAATGCGTTTTCGAAAAAGTTTAGGTTATTACGAATAACGACATTCGGATTTTCATCGGACCACCACCTGCAATTTTGACAAGAGACAACACCATTTTTTGTGGACGTGGAATCATCTCCAAAAAGAATATGTCTATCGAAATTAGACTGATCTATTTGCCCTTGTATCCATGCAGTAAGAGGAAATTAAAGTCTCGTACTTTAATTGATTTTCTTCATTAAATACCGCTTGAAGCCATTCATTCATATTGCATTTACAGTCTATAGACCCTGTCTGTTTGAAATGAGTTAAAATACTACTAACAGTTGAATAGTGGTTTATAATTATAATTGATAACATTATCGCCACATATTAAAACTAACCCCTTTTTGTCAGATAATGTCTAATATTAAAGCATCACTTTTAATTCGTAACAACTTTTGTTAATAACATTTTCCTCAATCTTTTGAAGAAGCGTACTCCCGTGCCAAATGGTTCAAACAAAAAAAAAACTGAATATTATGAACCAATACAAAATTTTGCGAAAATTCCCCGCAATTTCTCATATCCTCTTTAGTATTTTTTTCCGCAAGCTATACATAGTGGGACGCCGGGTACGTACCTTTGGCCTATTATTAAAAATAAATAATAATTTCATACATGCAAAATTGTCACAGACTTTGCGACTAAGTGTGGTAGCACAGCTTTAAAACTCCAAAGTAGCGACGAGCTGATCTGAGAGACGGACAATAATCGCAATAAACTAATCCTTTTTTTTTTCAGCTGGCAATTCTGCAAAAAAGGCACGCTGGTCAGGGATATAAACGGTACCCATCATGATTTGGTCGGCGTAAACTTAAGCGACTCGCAGTGTTCTTAGCGAGTTTGTTTTCTGTGTTTCTGTTGTCTTGTGATATTCTGTTGGTTGTTTTAACAAAAGTAATAAAAAAATCCGACCAAACACTTCAGTTTTAGTTTTACTTAAATCGTCACCGTTGAAGGTTTGAGGTGAACCAGTGTCAGTTCTAGTGATCTTTGACGCGATGGAGATGTACAATATCGTTGAGCAACTCGATAGAGGTAGTTTCGGGTAAGTTTTGACGGGTGAATGTAATAACTTGAAATTTAAAACGGTGAGACTGCAAAATTTAGCTTCATATTCATTCACTGATATTGAAATACACAATTTACATATTCAGAATTGCTAGGTCAATAATTTACTCAACTCATTAATTACAATATGAAGTTCTGGTAGTATTAATTAGGATTATAGTAATACGAGGAAATAATTGAATTGTTCGTTATTACAAAAAACGAATAAAGACCACACAACACAATGAAATATACTAGGTGTCCCAATAAGGAAAACAAGGTAGATGTAGATTATTAGGGAAACGGAGGGTCACAAATTTGAAAACAAAAAAATTTAAATCACCCAAGGCAATGCTGCAAATTATTTTCAGACTGTAACGATAGTTAGAGTGAGCTTTTCAATGCTGAAACATAGTAGGGGGCATTCAAACCTTTTCGGAAATTAATTTTGATAACTTCAAATAGACTTTTTATGAAAATCATATAGGAGTTGTTAATGCGATTGTAATTTTTTATTTGGCCACCAGGCATAATCGCAAACAAAATAATTTTAAAAAATAAGAAAATAAATGCTACCACACGATTTTTTCACGTAATTACATACTCAAATCAGGGCCCAACAACGCCGAGGACACAGCATCCTAATATCTTTACCCTAACCTAAAATATGAATTAAAGAACTTTATACTCAAAATAATAAGCTAAATTTTATGATACATAAAAATTAAACAAGTGAAATTATTTTTAAAATCCTGTTATCTATCATTATTAGCATTTTAATTATACCTTCTAAGACCGCCAATTTGTAACTGATTTTTTTTTTTAAAAATTAAAAAAGTAAATCACTAATCAATTGTTGCGGCTTCATTTTATTAAGTATTAACTTATTGAAGTAGTAAATGTAGAGAAACATGTAAGGAATCAACAAAAATGTCTCCTTTGCCATGAATAATTCATTGCCAATTACCAAGTTTTCGATGACATATCATTTGAACTGTCCCATTGAGATTTTGTTATTTTGCATTAATTGAAAATGTAAGAATATGAAAATCTAGTAATGTCAGCTAGTGGCGTAATTTTGTGAGCTTCTAAGATTTGCAGAAAAAAACAATAACGGCAAATAAAATTTAGCATCCCATATAATGAATTAGCGATTTATATGCTAAATTTGGAATAATTCGACATTAACAACCACTCGTAAAGTAGAAATGCTTCACAAAATTCAATTTTTTCATTTAAATTATTAAAATTCTTTTATCCTTCGCAATCGTATCACTCATAACATGAAGGACAGCCTAAGGAAAAATGTTTTTAACGGCTCCAAAGTCTAAATGCGTTAAGCTTTTTGGGAGCTTTTTACTTTTTTTTTTAGTCTGCGAAAACCACTTTCCTTATATAAATATTTCAAATTTGCCTTATCTTTAAAAGACCATAAGAAAATTTCGTAAAAACTTGATTTTTCAACATGAAGATGGTAATTGGGAATACTGGGGGCCATTTCAGAAGCCAGCATTTTCTTTTTTTCCGATTTACCCAATCCTCTTTCGAAATTTCTGTAACCGTCCGTTTCCCCAATATCATATATCGTTGCCCTCACTGATATATAAAAATGTATCTTTTTTCTTTTCCTTCTGTCTTTCTTTTGTACAATTCTTTCATCCATAAAACACAAAAGTTCCATTGAACAAAGAAAAGTCCTTAAAAATCTCTTAACAACCAAAGAATATTAACCGGAATCTTTCACCATTATGGAAATCTGTCACCCTGAAAGCATGTACAGAGTAAAATGGCTAAACGTCAACAAGTTCTATTGATCACCAACCATCGTAGGAGGAATCCAGGAAACTCTTTAAAAAATTAATAATATTATAATTAACTAACATAACTACTACTTTTTTTAATGTCTCTATAAATTTAGTCTGTACTTGTTAGTATGGACGTTTTATATTTGAAATTCGTATACAAATTGTTAAAAATATATTATTGTTATTATTATTATTATCGGCCTCAGCTTTCTCTGCTTTGCAGGTATTAGTGATATGATATTGGTAGAGAGGAGATTCATCCTATTCTACTTCACCTAAGTTTAAAAATTTTCGAACAGTGTGACTTGTCTGGGGTATTATAGCTTTTTGTGATGCATCAAAGATGTTATTCTGCATGTCTAGTTTCTCCTAGTTTCTTCAATTTTTTTGTAACAATTCCCTCCGCTGACATAACCAATGGACATATGGTTATTTTGTCAAGACGAAAGATTTGTTTTAGCTTCATATTTTCGAACTTTCTCAGCTTCCGTAGATCCGAAATAGTGGGTCAGCGGTATGAAAATATTGATTGACCCTTTTTGTTCTTGTTTATTAATGAGAAGAATATCTGGTCTGTTGTGGGCGTTCGTTGTATCTGTTAGTACCGGACGATCCCAGTGTAGCAGTTGTGACCTATTTTCCAGGATTGATTTTGATTCATATTTGTAAAATGCAGCGGTATCTTTCGAAACAAGTTCCCAATTCAAGCTCAGTTGCTGATGTATGATTTTTACCAGTTGATTGTGCCTTCCTAAATAAGCATTATCTGTTAGTGCGCTACGCCCACCTACGATGTGTTCTATTGGATCTCCAGTATTGCTACATTTCCTACATTTATCATTTTCATAATTTCTAAGTCTAATTACCTTGTCTTATATTGCGAGCATAAAACCCTCAGTTTCGGGATACAGATAGCCCTTATGAAACCACTGTAATGATGATGTTTGTCGATGAATGTGTCTTCGAGTATTAGATGGTATTTACGTGCTTTTTTCCTTACAAGTTTGTATTTCCTGATGTAATGTTGATATTTTATCGGTTGTGTGAAGTTTTTATCAGCATTTCTTTTAAACTGGACGATACGGTCTGTGGATCCTAATAATTTCGCACTAATTTTAGAGACCTGGTTTCTGCAAATTTTGCTTATATTTAGAAGCCTCCTGCCACCTTCTTTTCTAGGGACATAAAACTGCGATGATGAGTTGGGGTGTAAACATCAAAATTTTATTATTATTAAGTTATAGTGTCATTGCTATTTTTGCTAATCTGAGCCATTTTTGCTTTCGAATCTTATTAGGACCATTCATATGTGCTTAAAGAGGCACAACAGACAAAAGATGGTAATGAAACGAATTTACGCCGACCTGAAAGGCGAAGAACTGAAGTCGGCCCAAAACGAAGTAGCCATCTTAAAGTCTCTCAATCATCCGAACATCATTCAGTACTATGATAGCTACGTGCAGAACGGCACTTTTCACATAATCATGGAATATGCATCCCACGGCAGCCTGCAGCAACTCATCGAGAAAAATCGACCGAAATATTTTAACCCGCAAGTACGACTGTGCCTTTTTCCACGATGGTAAAATATAATGCTTTAATTGTTGGCGTTCGCAATAAAGTGCTGTAGCGCTTCAATATCTCCAAAACCTCCAAGCTGGAATAATAAAATAAAAAAATTCAAAACTCCTAACACTCAGATTTGCCACTATTAATAAAAAAATTATAACAACTGAGAGTTTTGGAGGTTTTTGAACATAGAAACTGAGAAATGTATCAGCGAAATATCTGCTGTAGGTACAATAGGAGCGCAGATCTAGGATACATTGAATATTTTTCACAAAATTGATGTATCTGTTATCGAGCTTTTCAAAAATATACTACAGAATATCTTAACATTTGTCTTCTACCTGAATTAACAGTGACAAAAATCTTAATTTTCATCCATTCAATTCGCATTCAAAATTTTGATTTTGATTAGAAGCAAATACCACTTTCCAAATTTTGCTCAATACCATGTTATTATTTTTCTTATTGTCAATTACATACTTTTAAATGTCTTTGTGTAGACGTCAGTTAGTTTTGTATTGTGGTAGAAAATTTAATTTTAGCAATGTTTAAAAATATGATGACTTGTTTCAATGATGTAAATAGCTAGATTTTTTGGATCAGAATATTTTATATAAAAAGAATTTAGCACATCAAGGATCATTAAAATTTATCTCGATCAAAAACATATAATAAATTCACCAGGTTGGGTGGCGATTTTAACAAAAGAAAATAGCGGATGACTTTACAAAACTCAAATCCAGAAGTTTCTAAGTTTTTCCAAATAAGACCACATTACAAATTTAAGCTTCACTTAACTCCTTTTGCTGAAAATTTAATAGGATCTGGACATATTCAGAAAAAATAGAAAAAATACTACAAACGAATTCACGATCTGTCAGCGCCGTAGCGATATTTTGGATAACTTCTCGTTGAATCATTACGAACAATTGGCTCGATAATAATGATAAATAATAAAATTTATTTTTTAAACTTCCAAAAGCTTCTAAAATGAAAACTTTATTAAAACCAAGATATAAGAAGGTACCTGGAAACGCAATATTTTCAATACTGCTATAGCTCGAAGCCAACTCTGTTATGACAATTTTCAAATTTCGAGAAGACAGCAAACTTCTAGGAAATTAGTTTTTCGCAAAAGTGAGGAGACAATACATAAAAATGGTTGAATCCTTCCAGTACCATGTTTTCATTTTTTCATCGAAAAAAAAAACGATTACATTATACCATTTAAGAAAATAATAGTTTCATTTTTAAGAAAAATTATGTTTTATCATTATGGAAAAAAATATCTATTGTACTTGTAGCGAAATTAGCGATTATTCCACGCTGCCATTAATTTTAACCTTTTTCGCAGGTCGTGATGAACTTTTTCTGCCAAATCTTGATGGGACTGCACCACGTTCACGAGAAAAACATCATCCACCGTGACTTAAAGTGCGAAAATATTTTCGTCACAGGTCTCCAGTGCGACGTTATTAAAATAGGAGATTTCGGCATCTCCAAACTACTTAGCAAGTAAGTACAGAAAGTGCAGTAAAGCAACACAAATCCGCACAACGCGAAGGCATGAGTCATCAAATGAAGGGAATGAAAAATCTGGTGTTCATAATGCCTATATTGCTATTTAATGTATATACAGGGAGTTTTCTAATTGAATGTCAATAATTAACTTCATATGAACATATGTCCTAAACGTTTTTACTTTTGAGATACATGTTGGTAAAGTTTTCAATATTTGAGTCTATGAAAACCGCAATGCAGTTGTGCAATTTAAACATCAAGAACAGTTTTCGGTAAATATTTGGGTTGGATTTGATAGAAATTACTTAATTGGACCCTTTTCCCGCTAGAAAGGCTGAATGGCCATAATTATAGCCAGTTTTTAGAAGAGGATTTGCCAATATTGCTAGAAGGACTACCATATTAAATTAGGAACAGAAAGTGCTTCATGGATCGCGGCGCGCCTGCTCACTTTAGTGTTGCAGTAAGAGAATATTTAAATCACAAATTTAACAACCGAGGCGTATGTCGCGGCTGACCTCAACCATGGCCCCCTCGGTCCCCAGATTTAAATAGTTTGGACTTTTTTTATAGGGGCATCTTAAAAGTCTGGTTTATCGCATTCCAGTTAACACTGTATTTTATTAACAGGCAATTTTGTTAAAAATTATTAATAGTAGTAGTGTTTTTTTTTAAATAAGAATCTTTTATTATTTAAATTGTTGTTAAGATATTATGTTATTTCAGTAATTTCTTCAATTTTCTGCTCGGGCATTTTTTGGAATACCATATAGTTTTTGTAGCGCATAGCCTATAAGAGGTACCTGACGAACGGATTTACTTTAAATTATACAGAGTGATGTAAGAGAATGTGCTCTATCGCTCTAAAATATTGTCAAGTATGCAGCGTTCCCTCTTCCATATAAACCACTGCAGTTACTGTTAGGACATTAAGTTCTTTAAACTTTCCTCTGCAAGACTGTCTACTTTCTAGACCTATAAATGTTCTGATTGCACGCATTTATAAAATAAATACTTTTTCGACGTGTCTGCAACCCCCATACAGTATTATATATATCTAATATGATTTTTCAACATTTGCATGATATTACATATTTTTCGTTTCTATATCTATGTAGTTTTTTAGCGTCCCATACGTGTAACAAACCTTGTTCAATTCAAGTTAATATATAGTCCAAGGACATCCCCAAGAATTTGATCTTATTTCTTAGGTCTACTTCACAGTCATCGATGTTTATCGTTTTTGGTGCCACTATTTTGCTCTTGTTCGTCTTGAATAGTCTTGTTTTTTTTATTATTATAAACCTTGTGGCTGCGTTCTTTGATATATTTATAGCATTATTCACTATTAGGAAACTTTTATCTTCAGCATAGTTCGTTATTTTACAATTTTCTACTACTGCAAGTAATTGTGTTATATTATTTATGTAAAGTACAAACAAAATAGTACCAATGCACTTCCCTGTGTAACTCCCAATGAGACACGAGCAATACTAGGTACAATTCTATAAACGCCAGTACATATGGCTTCTTGTTGCATTCTACCAGGTAGATATGATTTGATGCATTTCTAAAAACTAAAAATTTGTAATATAAGGTATCATATGCGTTTGTCAGATCAATAAAATGACCTGAAGAAAGATTTTTCCTCTACTGCTCATTCAGGTTATTCAAGTTACAACAGTAAATAGGGCTGTCATTGTGGATTTTCCCCGTAGATACGCATGCTGACATTCATTGAATAAATTATTTTCGTTCATAAATTCGACAATACGCTGACACATAACATGAAAGTCAAGTGATAGGCTGGTAGTTTTCTAATTCACTCGCATCACATGACCACAGCAAGCTTTAGTAGTTCCCCATACCTTAAGGAATTATTAGTTATATAAATCAGTGGTTGAGTAATTGCAACAATTGGAAATTTTAATTGATTACTGAACTCTTCATCAAATCTGCTACTAGGTTTTTTTTTTATATTTATCATTTTTCAAACAGTTCCTCATTGCCGACAGTATCCGGGCAAATTTTCACCCGATTAAACTCTATATACGAGAAAAAAAATTTTTTTGTATGTTATTTCACTATTATATCAAGTCCTGCGTTTATTAAGAAATTAAAATTATTTGCTATTTTTATTTCTTTCCCATTATATTTGCCCTTAATTTCGATAACAGTTGCCAAAGCACTTTTTTTTATCTGACTTTTCTAGACGATTTACATAATATTTTTTCTTACCATCTTTGAGCAAAATGGACATATTATTTATAGCGAAAATCATTGGTTTTCATTACATAAAGTGCATAGAACTGAATTTTACAATCTGTTATGTGCTTAATATTATAAAAGTCTTTTGGTTTTCCTTTCTTACGTACAGAAGAAACTCTCGTTAATGAAAAACATTCATTAAAATTTTTTAAAAATATATTTGAGAAGATCCATCGTCACACACCATGCTTTTCTAATATGTACAGATATTCCCATTTGGTATCAAATAATCTTTATTTAAATAAGTTTAAATTTAAGGTTTTCTATAAAAGTAATTTTTTGGTGTTTAATTTGAAGTACTAATTTTTGGCAGTATAATCACAACTAAACTCATTATTTGACTTACTTGTGAGGATATCTAACAGGCACTCTAGTTTATGTAAAAGACCTTAGCATCTCCTGCAGGTGGTCAGTACACTGTAATAACACTCGAATACATATTCTTCAGTAAGCTGGTTAGTTTTGGTTAGTGCCTATTTTCCTAATAAAGTATAACTCTTTAAATTATTTTCATGTTCACATAGAAGGCTTTGGAGATCAACAGCAAAGAATCTTCTGTCTTGATACATTGATTATTGGCTTTCGGAAAAGGGCAATCTAGTTCGAAAGAAACGAAAATTAAATGAAGTTTTACGAAATTATTTCAAGGATAGTAAGAGATACGTGAGGATAGAACTAACCAGAACTTTATGAAACAAAACTCGATCAACTGTCTCTCTAGAATTTCTATTCCACAATCCTAATTTTTATACACTCCTTATTTTTCATCCTAAATAGTACCCCTGGAAAGAATACCTGAGCCATGCCAAAAACTATCTGGAAATGTTCGGCTACATATTCAACTTGGGAAATTTTATTTTATTTCGATAACGAAAAAGACATCGTTCTAGGTAAACCTGAACAAAATCAACTTTATTATTTGCAAGGAATCTAAAAATGAGATGATATACACGGCGTGATTTTAAAAAGTTTGCCACGTTAATGAAAATATTACCTACATCAGTCTTTAAAATTTGAAGTGTATCCGTGGATCCGTTTGCTAAATTTTTATTAGTCACCTTTTCTTGAATTCTGGAAAAAACAGCTGATAATTTTATACAGAAATAGCGTCGTTTATGATATATTTTAGCGAGCTAGTTTTTGGTGATTTTTCCGCTGTTTTAGCTCGAAGATGGATACCACCGTAATCGGCACTTACAACTACTTAGCTCCCGAGCTCTGCCGTGGTAAATCTTATAACAGAAAAACCGATATATGGGCTCTGGGATGCGTTCTGTATGAAATTTGCGCCATGGAGAAGATGTACCACGGCACGGTGAGTAAATATTAAATTAATTAGTTGCATCAGTTCATAGTGCTCGTAGTCCAGAATTAATCAGACTATACTACTGTTAAACTACAACTGCATGGAATAAAAAAAGACGAACTATTTCGAGCTTTTCTTCATATGATTAGTCCGTTTTCTTAACTGAATGTTTTGGATTTAAAGTAAAGCGACAAGATAATATACAGGGCGGCGCAATAGTATGACACAGTACAGTATCGTCCTTATTTAGCACAATTCTGAGAAAACATGTTAACGAGTGCATAAAATCAAGTAAGTTTTAAAAATATTTTCAACTATTAAGGTGTTCCCTAACTGTGGAATCTATACGCACTCTTTGTAGAGTGAACGTATTTTCAGAATGGGACATTATCACAGAAACACGCCACTCCTGGGAGACGAAAACATTCACTGGTTACTTAGGCAAGGGCATCGCAGCAGAATTATAGCAATCGTGCTGTCCTATTCTGAAATTACGAGCACTCTAATACCAAAAGTGGACCTTAAGGTAGTGAGATGTATTACTAGAGTTCAGTAACGCACGTATGTAAGAAAAGATTAGCCGGTGATTTTTTTAAAAATCAAAGACATTTTCATTCAATTTGGAATAAATTTACTTATTATTTTTTTACTCACTATTTTTGGATGTCGTCGTCGTTACTCACGGTCGCTAGCTTCTTAAATTGCTGTATTTTAGTGCAGTGTTTGCAGCGTATCCTGACAAGTCACATAAAAATAAGCCAAGAAACAATCCAAATAGTGATTGCTAAGCATTTTAAGATTGTAGGTCAACCGAATAATCGGTTTTTCTTTCTTATTAACGTCATTGAGGTCAAAGTAAATCAATTTTCGAAATTTGGGTACTTAAAGGAAATAATTAATAAAAGTTATCACCACACCATGAAGGTATCTGAAACTATTATCCCATATTGGCTTAATTTAACATGGAAATAATAGTCTAGTCAGAGCAATTGAGCAGTTACGCAGCATGACATTCTATCTAGTTCATTACTGGATATAGCAAAATTGATACAGAAATCCGCATCTAAAAATGGTACTAAAAATGGAATATAGCTAAGACATACAGATCAATTTTAATTACGTCATACGTGACGTAACTGCACAACTGGTCTGACTGGAGTATACCCGAAGTCTATCCGTGCCACAGTCAATATCTTTTATTAACCTTTTTCGTTCTGAAATTCGGACATGAATTATATGGGGTTCCACAATTTTATTATTATTATTATTAAAACGAGTCTATTTAGATTTATAAATATTATTTTTATGGTTGAATAGCTCTTTTCAAATACTACAAAAATCAAAAAGTACAATTTTTGCGGAATACTAAAAATTATGCATGCTCCGTTTTATTCGTGAAAATAGGTATTTTGTATATTTATTTATATGCAATTTCGTTTATATCTAAGTCAAAAAGGCAATATACAAAAACTAAAAGCAATCTTAGATTAAACACGCGAAAATAATGATATTGAGCCAAAAATGCGTTTGGTAAATGTCTCTCATTAGTGATATACAGGGTGTTAAAGTTTTCGTAATTGTTATTTTTCTATCTGTCAAACCGTTTTGGAAATACTAACATCACAACTTGGATTCGGTGATAGAGAATAAGATTTTCACACAAAATGTTATGGCTTTAATTATATTTTCCTATTCGTCCAGCACCCCGTTCCTTTTTTTAAAGATTGTGAGAGTAATTATTTCTACATAAAAAAGGAATACTTTTTTATTTCCATAAAACATACCGTTTTCGAAATATTTTGATTAGATTTTGATATTTTTTTAATTAATTAATAATTTTAAATTTAATAATATATATATATATATATATATATATATATATATATATATATATATATATATATATATATATATATATATATATATATATATATATATATATATATATATATATATATATATGATGACACGTATGGGTCGATAAACCATTTAACATCGGAAATCGAAAAAATTAAAATATTTTTGAAAACTCTTTTAGAACCGAATATTTTTAACAACTATGTAACTATTGTAAAAATTAAAACCGAAAATTTATTTAAAAAAATTAAAGAAAAAAATATAAACAAAATTAGAAAAATAAACCCTGAGCTAAACAACGGTGTTGATTCCTCCAAATGGATCGAAAACCTTACAGATATTGAAATCCCCAACTATGTGAATGACATATTAGCCCTAGGCCCAAACTTTGCAGTCCCAGTAGAAAAACTTGAAGAAATACCCATCACCGATATTATTTGTAACATTGAAACTGTATTACACAACACTGTCTCTAGCGGAAGGGATGAAATAAGGGTCAAGTCCTGTAACATAATTACAAACTTTAAAAATAACTTTATTAAACAAAAAAGTAACCAAACAAACAAAAAAATCTTTACTAGCAAATTGAAAAAGACAAAAGCTTTCCTAAAAAGAAACAAAACTTTAAAAATATTAAGACCAGATAAATCAAACAAAACCGTAATTATGCACGAAAACGACTACAACACAAAAATGTACGACCTTCTAAACGATGACAAAACATATAAACAAATAAATAATGATCCTACAAACATTTTCCAAAAAAGAAATAACGATCTGGTATCAAAATGGGAAAAAGAACTTTTGATTTCACCGAATGCAGCCAAAAATCTTAAAATACAGAATGCAGTACCTCCTAGAATCTATGGATTGCCTAAACTACATAAACCTGGCGTACCTCTAAGACCCATAGTGTCATGCATTCAATCCCCTTGTGAAAAATTGTCAAAGTTCCTTAAAAATATACTACAAAACGTTATAAATCAAAATCAATATTACATCAAAAACTCTTTCGATTTTAAAGAAAAGATAAAAAATGTCAGAATACCTGAAAACTATGTTTTGATCTCGTTAGATGTCATTTCCCTATACACAAATATTCCCATCCCTTTAGCTAAAGATATAATAAAGAAAAAATGGCCAAAAATTAAACATTTTACAGATATTCCGTTAAATCACTTTCTTGAAGCTGTAGAATTAACATTAACATCAACCTATTTCTTATTCAATGACAAATATTACAGGCAGGTCGATGGTTGTGCAATGGGAGCATCGATTTCCAGTGTTATTGCACAGTTAGTAATGGAAGATTTGGAAGAATATCCCCCTTTTTTGTCGTTATGTCGATGACTGCGTAAGTGCTGTCCCAAAAACTGAAATCGATGATATTCTAGAGAATTTTAATTCATACAACGACAAACTTCAATTTTTAATAGAGATCGAAAAAAATAACGTCATTAACTTTCTAGACCTGACTCTATACCACAGCAAAGATCAGATCAAAACCAAATGGTACACCAAAGATACTTGGTCATCTAGGTATGTAAGTTTCAACTCTCAACATCCCATCACCCAAAAAAAATCCGTAATAATAGGTTTAGCCGACCGAGGTATTAAACTGTCCGATCCTGAGTACAGACAGCAAGCTATTAAAAAAGCAAAACAAGCCCTAAAATTAAACTGTTATCCGGATGTATTAATAAATAAAATTTTCAATAAACGGATACATAAATTTTACAATCAAAATGCTGGTAACAAATCCGAGAAGAAAAATACTCAAAAACAATATCTCCCATTACCGTACGTTCCAGGGCTATCCGAAAATTTGTGCAATGTGTTCAAACAACACGACATTACTGTGGCACACAAAGGTTATAATCTATTAGAACAAAACTTTAGTAAATTAAAATCAAAAATCCCTGACGAGAAAAAAAGCCACGTGGTGTACCAAATATCGTGCCAAAATTGTAACGGTGTCTACATCGGACAAACTAGTCAATACTTAAAAAGTCGCTTAAACGGCCATAAATATGACAAAAAAAATAACACTGCTCTTTCGAGCCATTCCAGGGAGAATCAGCACTCGTTTGACTTTCAAAGTGTGAAAATTTTACGCTCAGAAAGGCACACAAAAAGACGGGAATTTTATGAAATGATTGAGATCCAAAAAAATCCAAACGCCATAAACTCTAAGACTGACACAAAAAATCTCTGCAAAATTTATCACAACTTAAATAAAGAGAAACATTAACCCGTGAATCTCACACAAACAAAAAAAAAAGCTTTAGAAAAAAAAAACTCCGTTGTCCTACTGTGAAGAAACGTACATCCGGGCTTCGCATTATTGTTTTGGTTCGTCGTCTTATCAATGTGGCTTGTCGATTTACATATTCAATATGTCTGTTGTGAATGTTGTAAAACTGTAAATTACCAAACAACTATATAGTGAACCGTTGATTTTTGGCTTAAGGTATGTATGTAATCGTAATATAAAAAATTATGTATGTTTTATTGTTGTGCATCTATTTTTATACAATTTTTAATCACTTGGTTTGTTCTATTGACTTGCACTAGTAATTTTTAATCATTTCAATGCTGACTCCTATACAAATTTTTATCTATGTTTTAATTATGACCAGGAAAACAATGCTATAAATAATTTTATTTAAAAACACATTTTTGTAGGTTAAAATTAAATGTCTGAAGAAGGTCTTGAAGGCCGAAACGTCACACTTGGTGGCTGTAAAGGTCTCCTTCCCGTAAAGGTGTATGATATTCTCACGTATTGATTCACGGATGGAAAAATGTGATGACACTATATTCCGGGATATCATCCGTTCGCTCCTTGAACTCCGACTGGAATCCTGCAAATCCTGCATCCGACTGGAATCCTGCAGACGTTTCGCCAAAATCTCACTTGGCATCTTCAATGCTCGCGCTCCGAAAACCCCAGTGTTCGAAGTGTTTTCGGAGCGCGAGCATTGAAGATGCCAAGTGAGATTTTGGCGAAACGTCTGCAGGATTCCAGTCGGATGCAGGATTTGCAGGATTCCAGTCGGAGTTCAACGAGCGAACGGATGATATCCCGGAATATAGTGTCATCATATATATATATATATATATATATATATATATATATATATATATATATATATATATATATATATATATATATATATATATATATATATATATATATATATATATATATATATATATATATATATATATATATATATATGTATCTTTCTGGCACCCATTATAAAAGTACTCAAATGAGCATCCGCTATATTATACAGAGATATATTTTGCCCTTCTGACACTTGTACAAATATTGGCTAGGTGCACATATATACATATATATTTTTAGTAAAACCAGATTTATCTAGCACCGAACAGTATTGCCATATTACACGCCAATTTCGGTATTAGCTTACACAATTTAGCGCCGTTAAGAGGATAGCGAGGAACATAAAACTTTGTAAACGCTGAAGTCAGTTCAGTGATTATTGTTTCTAATTGTGATTTTTAATGCAAACTCGAGGTAAATAAAGATGAGGTGCGTAGGCACTTAAATTTGTCATAATATCCCAATTTGAGGAACCGTTATCTAAATTTAAAATGTCGTCGTTTAAATCTGGTACATCATTATCAGAACTTGATGCAGTGTCGTCTAAATCTGTTATTTCGCTCTTTGCGTTTTCGTTTTTGTGATCTTAAAACATAAAAGAAGTTAGTTTGGAAAACTATTCATGATCTTAGGAAGCTTGCTGAAACAGATAAAGGTATAATCTCTTTTTAAATGCTATTGTCAGTTTTGAACAGTATTTGAATAATTTTTGAATGAATAAATATATAGGGAAATCCAATCGTACAGGTTTACTGATCGATTGATGTTTGATAAAGTAAACAGGTAATTATAAAAGAAAAAATTATACAAACTTCATAGTTTTTCCAAAATGCAATTGCTATAGAAATATTCTAATACTTTTTTTTAAGTTGCAACTAACTAATCAAAAACTTGATTTGCTTGCGACCAACACTAAATTTTTCTTAGCCCTTTGACTCATTTTGACCGTTGATCACCTAACACACCCGCGCAAAATATCGCACAAAAATATAATGGAACATTCAAATCGCCGTTGCCAAATTTTGGGTGTCTAAACGACGAAATATTATCTATTTGCCACATAATACAGATTTTATCTACTTTAAATACAAACTTTTTGCGGTGCGCCTCCTAGCGTTAAAGCGGGTGAACCCTTGGCGTATAAAAGGCGATACAAATGAGCCATATGGCTCCCAGGAAAAGATCTGTCATTATTCGTTATAGAAGGAGGGGATACTGATTTTGAAACTTGCATAGCTAAACTTTGTGGCACCCGAAAGTGGGTGCCGGAACGTTATCAGAACGGTGTCAGATGTACAAGTTTTATTTACAAATGGTGCCAAATTGTCAGATTATATGTATATATATATATATATATATATATATATATATATATATATATATATATATATATATAATATATATATATATATTTATATATATATATATAATATATATATATATATATATTTATATTATATATATTATATATATATATATATATATATATATATATATATATATATATATATATATATATATATATATATATATATATATATATATATATTTATTTATATACATATCATTAGATTTGTCTTTTAAAGGGGCATTTATAAATATAATAAACTATAGGGTCTACTATTTAAAAAGAAATGTGACTTTAATTGGTCACCCCATATATAATTGAATTGCATGTAAAAAACTAATTGTAGACCTTTCTCTATGCAGTTCACCCCTCAGAATTTTGTCTCCTAGTAATACTAGCAGATTCCTGAAATTAGTGGACCAAAGTATAAAATATAGCATATGTAGACATCCAGCAATTGCATATCCTCTAGAATTACATTTTCAGGTGTCTGACATAATCGTTTCGATAGTCAATGGCAAAAGGAAGACCATTGACTCAAAAAGATATGGCAAGCAGATGCAGGAGCTTCTCCACCTTCTTTTACAAAGTGACCCTGAAAAGCGTCCAGATACAAAAACGCTAATGGCCTTAGCGGATGTGTTTCCATCTCTTCATAGCCTAACAGTTAACCTTGGATGCATATTCGACAAACAGTAGGTCAGTCTCGAGGTAGAGATTATATATTTTTTAATTTTTATACTTTCTTTAAATAAAAGTCATTCTCCAAAATAAAAGTAGTTTTATTGTATTATCATCTTGTGTATCGCTTACTCGACCAAAGCCGATTATACAAAATACTTTATTTTTAAGTGAACTAAAACAATTCTTATCAGCTTAAAAACACTGTTCATGATTAGCTTAGAAAACCAAGTACATATGAATTGAAAATGAAATGAAACTCGAAATGTTTATAAAAGATATACCTAAATCCTTACCAAATGGATGAAATATTTATTGGTACTCCATAGGTTCGCCATTTTGTACCCCTGAAATAAGAAAATCCAACTTTAAAATGCTTTCAAACAACAATAAGAAAAGCCATGATTTTTCCCACTATGGTTGCCAACCAAAACTAATTTTGTATAGACAAAAAATTAATAGTCAAAAAATTCTTTGTTTAATATGAATTAGTTAAAAAATAGTTTCTATAAACTAAGTCACTTAAATCATGGATTAATAAAAGAAAATGCTTGTTTATTACAGTCTATTTTTTGCAAACATCATGGATTAAAAACAAACAAACTTTAAATTAAAAAAAAAACAAGTATATTAAAAGCTTACCATTGAGATCAGATAGAATTTGACCTGATTGAAGAATTTTCTGTAACCTCTCAACCTCCTCCAAAGAATTTGCTTTATGGATGGCCTCTCTAACTTTTCTAATTTCTTCATCTGTCATGCCTGTAACAAAAATTGCTAAAGCGGTTTCACAATTTTTACAATTTTTAGAACATATCAATGACTATAAACCGCAAAACAACAAAATCTTTGAAAAATTCCGTTTCTTTGTTGTGACAAGCATTTTTTGCAAGAAGTAGTAACTGTTTCTATGATACTGGGGAAAACAGCAGAGCATACACAAGTTACATCAACGTGGATAAAAATGTGATGCAATAAGGAAACAAAATTATTCCTCTTATTTTTATATTTTTTATATAAGTCTTTCTTTTTTGAATTCCTGAACAGTTTTAAAAAGAAACACATTTTAATGAAAATAATTGAAATATTTGTAGATAACATGCATACATTACAAGTTAAAATATTTGTTAATCTTACCTCTACTCTTTGCCAAATTATGCATGCTACCTCCCGGAACAAAAGTTTTGGACTTCTTAATAATATCTTTCTGAATCTCTTTGCCCTTTTTACTTTTAAACAAAACTTTGGCCTCCTCCCGTTCTTTAGTTTTGATCTTTCGGAAATCGAGCAACTTCAACTGGGGCAATTTATAAATGACATACAACCTATAATGCTGCTTTGCTGTGACAGGATTGTGCATCAGGCTTAACGATGTTAACTTTTCCAAAGTCAGCAAGGGCTCTAAATCTCCCAACTCTTCCATTTGGTTTCCTGTCAAAACTAATGTGTCAAGATTGGGAATATATTCTTCCAAATGTTCTCCAATGCGTCTGCAACACAGAACACTTAAAAATTGTATAATAACAGGCTTTTGAAACCTACACAATCCGGTTGTTGTTCAACAAAAGACATTTAAGTCGCTTTAAGTAGGGAAAGCCATCAAGTTTCCGTATATCATTGTCAGAGAAATCAATGGTGTCGAATTGATCCCCAGTGGCCCCTAAATTTTCAATTTCCGGAATTCTGTATCCTAAAAACGAATTATTAAGCAAACCGAAGCGGAAAAACTAAGCAATACCTCTTAAATCCAGTTCTCTGTCTTTCACTGGATTTATATATTGCATAGAGTTTTGAATTAGTTCGGCAGTTAATTTAACCATTGTGTTTACTCGGAAATTGAATATTAAACTCAGATTTCGCCAAAATTAGTGTTGGAAATCAAAAGAATTCATCTCATTTCAAGTCACTTAACCATAAACTCTAACTTATAAAAATGCGGAAACCACAGAATAACAATGGTATTTGTGGTTACCCAATTCCAGCAGCATCATAGAACCGAGTGGAAGAGGAAAATATCACTGATTTTTTTTTTATAAATACGTTTAATTGGGCAGAGGAAAATATGACCGATAACAATTTTTCACACACACAACACCCAAAGCTCCCGGTGGGAAGTCACAACCTCAACCTCGGTCCCTACCACTGAATATAACAGTAACGATGTGGCAAATTCATTCTCATTCACCACAGAATGGTTCAACCAGTATAAAGATTTTCCCTTGAGTGACTAGCGCCTTTGTACCTATCTCGCCTAAACGTTTAATTGAATGCAATGAGCTTCAGATTCAAGAAACAAAAAGAGATAAATAGTTGCCGTTTTTTTTTTGTATCGGTCAAAGAACAAATGTTGTTACGTTTTTTTATGTGTTGGTCAGTGACCAAAAAGAAAAATTCCTCCACGAATGTCTGTAATGGGCGAATGACCATAATAACCTTGCCTAACAGTTTGTAAAATGTATGTCTCTCCTTGAATCTTTCGACTTAACCTGTACAAACTCATGGCCAACAAAAGTAGAAGAAGAAAAAGAACCCGTACAAACTTTTGTACAGAGTACAGAATTCATTTGAAGAAATGACAAAGTTAGATCTGGTCCAAATTTTGAAGAAATATACTGGGCGTGTGTGGAACGTATGTTGGCACCCCAAAGGTGATGCTTTGGCATCTTGCGGTGAAGACAAATGTATAAGATTATGGGCGAAAGACCTATTGGGAAAATGGGTGAACAAGGCTGTTTTAACCGACGGACATAAACGCACAATCCGGCAAGTATCCTGGTCGCCTTGCGGAAATTACCTAGCATCCGCGAGCTTTGATGCCACTACATGCATCTGGGACAAGCAGAGTGGCGAGTTCCAGTGTAGCGCTACTTTGGAGGGTCACGAGAATGAAGTGAAAAGTGTGGCTTGGTCGAGGTCAGGCCACTTCTTAGCCACTTGCAGTAGGGACAAATCGGTGTGGATATGGGAAATTACGGAAGATAGTGAGTATGATTGTGCTGCTGTAATTAACGCTCACTCACAGGATGTGAAAAAGGTAATCTTTGTAATGTATTTACTTGGAAATCAAAAAAATATTCATTTTTAGATAGTTTGGCATCCAGACAGAGATTTGTTAGCATCAGCTTCATATGATAATACCATAAAATTATTCAGAGAGGATCCCAGCGATGGGGACTGGATATGTTGTGGAACATTAACAGCCCATGATTCCACAGTTTGGAGCATTAGCTTTGAGGGTAAGTCGACAGCCCGTATGGCTACTGAGATTATTAATAATATAACAAACAAGTCTATAGGTACTGGTGGTCGACTAGCGTCATGCAGTGATGATGGAACAGTAAAAATTTGGAAGGAGTACCCGCCTGGCAATTCTGAAGGTGTGCCGACAGTTGACAATGATTCTGCTTGGAAATGTATATGCACCATCTCTGGTTACCATTCTCGAACTGTATATGATATAGATTGGTGCCCACTAACTGGTAATTCACTTTGTTTTCTTCATGTTTATGCATGACCGATGCTTAAATATCACTCTAGGTCTAATTGCGACAGCTTGCGGAGATGATTCAATTAGGATTTTCAAGGAAGACAAGCAAGTAGACGTCAATGCTCCCACTTTCAGCTTAACAGCAAGTGTTGAAGGAGCTCATAGTCAGGATGTAAATTGCGTTGCATGGAATCCTACTGTGAAGGGGTATTTGGCATCTTGTAGCGACGATGGGGAAATTAAAATTTGGAATATGGTAGACTGTTAGTTTGTTACTGCATTAATATTGATATTTTGTTATTCTTATCGGTTTTTTGCTTTCCCCCCCACTATGAAAAATTAAAATTTTTGCTCATGATACATTTGTGGAAAACAGTTGTACAGCAACACAAATTTTTGCATAAGTATGATTATGAGATAACTTCTAAAACTGGCCTTCAGAGGTTGTAATGAAAAAAATAGTTTTCTTCTAAATTTCATCTAAAGTGCTAGACTAAAATTAAATGTTTTATCGTTTCTGTTAATCATAATGTTTTGTATTCATAAGTCAAACCATTTCTAATTCTCTAGAACAATATTTTCTTTGCGTAGTTAATATTATTGGTTAGTGTTCTTGTGAAATGTAATTTCAAATGTACAGGAGCTAAGCTCTGTCAAAGCACGAGTCTTGAAACTAAACACATCGGAGGATGTGGGTTAGTATCCTTCCGATACTGTACCTATTTGGTTCGGGTTCGGTTGTAAGGGTCTAACCAAAAAATCATTTCTCCAAAACTGTTTATGCAACCGAAAAAATTGTTGAACGAGAAGACGCACAATATTTGGCTCTGAAAAGTTTTGTTCCTGATAATTTTTCAAGAATGTACAGGGTGGGCCGCATTTTCAATAAAACTGAAAAATGGGTACCCCTAATAGTGAAAATTGGCTATAGCTAAAAGACAGTGTTTGAGATATTAGTTTCTTTTTCATGGCGATATAGCCTATATAGACAGCTAAAACTTTTGTATTTATGCTTTTCACCTATTGCAAAGGTTGTTCCCGATATTCCGTGTTATATAAGAAATCTGTTAAGTGTTCTCAATTTGCAGATATCGACTTCAAATTTAGCAGAGATGTAAAAGCCCATGCCCATATTAAAACAGTGAAAATTGGGTGCAATCAAATTTTACCAAGTATTTAAAAAAATATATTTTTTGCTTATTGTGACTTCTAGAAAAATATGCTTTTCTGCATAACCATTGACCGGATCTTCAAAATTTTTTAAGCAACAGACGTAGAAGATCCAGTGCTATAACATTTATTACAGGCATTTTTTCGATTATATACAGGGTTTCCAATTATAGACAAAAATCTAAAAGACTCAGAAAATTGTTTTTTTCTGCTCCGCAGGAGCAAGATAGAAAAACAATGCGTCCCTCTAGGACAACAACCGCGAAGCGGCTTCTTCGCAAAATACAAAGCTGCTTCGCGCTGCGCGCTTCAAACTTGTCCCACCCAGCTATGATCTTTCGAAAGCAATCTTGTTACTTTCGAAAATCGATGAAATCGAATTTTTCGATAGTATCTGCGCTCGTATAAAAAAATTATATCTCGGTAACGTTAAGTCCTATAGGATCGCCGTTGGTACAGAAATAATCACCGCCGAAAAAAAAAAAAAAATTGTCTGTCCGTCCGTTCTCCGTTCTCGTCTTTTGGTTTTTCCTGAATAACTTTCGAACCGTTGAAGCTACAAAATTGAAATTTGCCCCCTTTTTCACGAGGCACATAAGCTTGTAAGAAATGGCCCTGAACCGCCGCCGGTATCGGATAAGTGTCGGAAATTTGAAGCAATCGACTTCATATTTGGCACATATATGCAGCTTTGCCCCGTGAAAATGTCGTCGGTGGGGGGAGGGGGTTTCGGGAAGTTTTCTAAAAAAAATAAAAAATCGCGTATGAAAGGATCTACAAGAAACATCATTTTTCAAAAACTGTGTACGAGACCAAAAAAATTCGTAAACCAGAAGACGCAGAAGATACGGCTCTATAAACTTTTGTTCTTGACAATTTTTCAAAAATATTCAGGGTGCGCCGCAAATACAAAAAAACTTAAAAATGGGTACCCCTATTATTGAAAATTGGTTATAACGGAAAGACTATGATTCGGATCTCACGTTATTTTATATTGCGATATAGCCCGCATGGACAACAAAAACTTTTGTATTTAAGTTTTTCACCTATTGTAGCGGGTGTTCCCCATATTCCGTGCTAAATAAAAAATGTGTTAGGTGTCCTAAATTTGCAGACATCAACTTCAAATTTAGCAGAGAAGTAAAAGTCCGTGTCCACATTTAAACGGTAGAAATTGGACGCAATCCAATTTTACCAAGTTTTTTTAAAATGTTTGAAATTTTTTTTTTGGTAATTTTAGCTTCCAGAAAACTATGTTTGCCTCCATAATCGTTCATCCAACTGGCAAAATTCTGTAAGTGGCAGACGAACATCCAGTGCAATAACATTTATTTCAGGCATTTTTTCGATTATATACATGTTTTCAAATTATAGGCAAAAATCTTTAAAAAAACTAGAAAATTGTTTTTTTATAGAGTAAATTATTAGCCGCATCAAGACCTACAATGTTTGTATTGGCAGTTTTCGTCTATCACATACGCTGCTCGGAATATTTGAAAAAATCCATATTGAAATCATTATTTCGGGGACCGTCAAGGCGAGATGACGTCATTGATTATTACGGCGCACTGCATGGTTTCAGAAAAAACTTATTTTCTCGAAAACCATTTACTATTTTCAAAAAATTCTTAAACCGGGACGCGTGGAAAACCCAGGGCTATAACCTCTACTTCGAACAATGATTGGTATCATATACAGGGTGTGTCGTTTATGGGCAAAAAATCTAAACTATCCTAAAAATTTCCATTTTTGTGGGTAAATTTTTGGCGATAAAAGAGAAACCGTTAAAGATGGGATAATTTTATTTGAACAGAAAAGCGTGTCAATTATACGGGGCGCGAGATATTTGAAAAAATATTATTTCTGCAAATTTTAATATTTGCCGATGTTTGCTGTAACTTTGAAGTTCTTGAATATTCTTGGAATGTTGCATTATTTTTTTTGTTATCTATAGTCCAAGTCATACTTAGAATAGAGTGTGGGGAGTATAGTTAATGCATTTCAAATGGGGGCAAGCTGTGCAGCGTTGCCGAGAATCGCATAGCAGTCCCAGAGTCCGTTTAGCCCAGGTGTGTCATGCAGGTACATAAATTTATTTTTTCTACTCCCTGTAAAATACCTAATTACACACCGATTTAGCGTGCGGGAAGCATCACTTTACCAGGTCAGTTTCGTTTCCCACGGATCCGAGTCACTTCGGACATTTCCGGGATTTTACCTCACTGTTTGAATTTTGACGTTTGTCAATTCTGACGGTCATGTCAGTGAATGTATTCGTGTTGTTTTGAGAAAGCTAACCAAAACTAACTGTCTTAGAAAAAGTATATTATACTGTTTAGTGAGTGATCAAAAGTTGAGTTTAAGTGTAGCTCTGAGTGGCGTTTCAAAACTGAATGGTGTTTCTAAAGAAACAATTTTTAATAGCAAGATAGAGTTCACTCGCGCAAATTGTTCATAATGATTTTTTTCAAAAACAGGACTCGCCAAATTTTTCTTTAAATACCTTAGCTGGATTAATGAAAAATATAGGTTTTTTATATGCGCGTCTGAAGTTATTATTAACCTAATAACCGACTGTATCTCGGCAACTATTCAACATAGATTTTTGAAATATTATAAACATGGCTAAATGAAAAGGCTAGAAATTATTTTCAAGTGTGAGGGATGGTTCCTAGCGACCGCATTTGTAATCTCCAAAAATAAAAATAGAATTTTATCAAAAAAATGACATCTTAATCTTCGATATTTTTTAAACGTCTTCCAGAAATGTTTTTCGGATGTCAAAGAAAGTGGCGGAGGACGTTTTAACTTCAATTTAGAATTAGAAACAGACCAAAAAATTTTCTTTATATTTTTAGATTTAAATTAACACAATTATTTAGAAAGAAGTGCATTTATTATCATTTCATTGTAATTTTGGGTGATAGATAACTTTATGCGTTAAATTTTGGTTACAAGTGTTGTTACAAATGGCAATGAAAAGCAAAAAAAAATCTAGTATAAAATGTTGACTTTAGTAAATATTTTTATTTTTGTATTTTTTTGTTTGTTTTTTTATTGCTACAATCTGCTACCAAGATGGCTATAGAATTAACAAAAGTTGAGCCTCTATTTCATTCCAACTACAAAATTATCTTAAAATAGATATAGTGTCCCATATGGTGCACGCTTTAACGCCGGCACTGTATTATATAAGATGCCCCAATTGCCATGCCGTGGGCCGCAATAGTGGCTCGGTAACTATAAGTACTACAAGGTTGCTCAAATGAGATAAAATGTACAGTTTTTGGGGTATATTAAAAATCCGTTTTCACATCAAGAAAAAAAGTATTTTGTACCGAGCTACTTGAAATCTCAAAAAGTATAATTTTTGCAAGAAATTCGTAATTCGAAATTTTATTTTTTATACGAATATTTAGAATGTAAAATTAGTTAAGCTTTCTCTGGAACTGAAATAATTTTGAAATAAAAACATAGTGTATTTCCATCCAAATCGTTTTTAAGTTGTTTATGCCATTGGTTTCAGCTAAAAAAAAATCCCTTCAATTCTAAATAAAAGATATATTATTAGGTGATGATTCCCTTACTCCAAGAAATAAAAAATTCTCTCAGTGAGCGCCTAAAATGGAGAAATACGAAATATGTCCGAAATTTTAAATGTATATGTTTTGTTGCAGCAAAACAATTTAAATCATACTCAATTTGTCATAGACTTTTTCGGACAATATCCAGAACATGCTAAAATTATAAAAGGATTTTGAGATGGCTTGGAGAAGCCCAAACAACAGTGTATTAGTAAGGAAGAAGCATTAAATATTTTAGTCACCGCAAAATTAAAAAAATATCAATATAATAAATGTCCAAGTTGACAATTTGTAACTACTGTTTTTTTCAAAAATGACTAAAATTACCAAATTTCTACAAAAATATTTGAGTAGGAGCAATATAACTGCGTATAAAAACTCATTTCTAGCTTTTCCAGATTACGCGACACTCTAAATTTTTTTTTTCTTCGAAAAAAATTGTTTGTGTTCACTTAAAATTAAAATTAAATTCTCTATATTCAGGAACAAAAATCGGTTCTGCATTTTATTCAGTGGTGTACCGAGAGACAATGTAACAGGTTTTATCAACCGAAAATACACACCTCTTTCTCTTTTGTGATTTGCTTTTTGGATTGATCTATCCAAAATACACACTTTTTTGCCTCTTCAATTCTTTTCGTATATTTCTTCGTTTTGGAGAATTTGAATCATCATTATTATTATTATTACTATTATTATTATTATCATCATTACCATTATCAATTAAACATAATAAAAAAATCAGAGGCGTGCCTTATCTTGTTGATAAAATTTGTTATAGTGTCTCCTAGTACTCCACCGAACAAATTATACTATACTATACAGAAATAAATATATGGGAGTTATGAGAGTTTTTCTAAACTTGCAGCCGCTTGCCTACCTTAAATAAATTAAAAATTAGTTATTTTAAAAATGTTGAGATAACATTTTCAACCGAGCGACGAAATTTGTTTGAGTCCGACCTGACGGTTGCCCGCCAACAGCTGGTCAGTGGGCTCTATAAGACTTCAGGGGTTAGGTTAAAATTACAAAATGTGAATATAATAGCTAGCTTTTTTTTAGTTTATTTTTCGGCCTCAATATTTTTCCAACAATTTTACTGAATGCATACGAAACGGAACACATGGCGAAAATTATGACTGCAATAACATCTAACATGAGGTATTTGTAGAAAGGCATCCGCGCACCAGCAACACGAAGATGTGGCGCACCTTTTTGCTTAATCACATACCCAACCCAGTAAGCTGCCAATTGAATGGGGCTCACTGGACGATCGTGAAGAACGCTTGACCGATATTTTATGTTATCTCTGTATCTACAACAAATGAAAAACACATTTTATGCACTATATAACACTCCAGTCTTGCAAATATGTCTGTTAATATTTGATTTACTTGGGATTGTCCAGAACATCATTTAAAGCATCCTTAAAGCTCTCCTCGGTGATTTCTGACGGAAACAATTTCCTTCCCAAACCAAGGGATTCCGCATGTGCTGCATTTAATTTTTGGTCTCCCACTGCTGGCAATGCAAGAATAGGCACTCCGTGATAAACAGTCTCGGTAGTACTTAAAAGTCCACAGTGTGTAATGAAGAGTTTCAAGTTTGGATGGGCTAAAAATAGAGCATAAAAAAACACGTGTAAATTATCCCGTTGAACGTACCCAGAATATCTTGTTGAGGAAACCACTTTGATATACGAACGTTCTTCGACTGATCTGGCAAAGTATCCAATGGCCACTTCCAAAGTATTTTTTCCTGCCTGGACCCCAAAACCCTAGAAATTGCTTGGAGAGTGGAATCCGGTAGAAGAGAAGGGTCCACATGGGACCCCAAGCTGAAATATATAACTCCTTCCGTGGCATTATCCATAAATTCCTTCAAGTCTTTAGGAAGTTCATTTGGAGGACGCACGTGATAACCTCCGATATTGATCATATTCGGCACTAGAGGTACTGGTTGCGTAACGCTTTCGTGCGAATTTAAAAGAACTAGTGAGACGTTGTACAATACTTCATCGAAAGCTGGCGCATCCAGGAAGTATTTCTTGACGATTCTACTCTGTTCGGGGTAAAATACGTAATCTAGATTAAATTTGCTGTATGCGGCGAAAACGAAATTGTAAATTCTTTGGAAGAAATTCATTTCGGGTGGAAAGTCTAGAAATATATTTGGTATATAACTGGGAGGCTCGGGATTGCCAACGATATTGTTGATCCAAGGATTGGGGCCCAAACTACTGAAAATTACTAATGGAGCTCTGAAATGACTTGCGAGTATTTTTAGTCCATCGTTCAAACCCTGCTCCATAATGACGGCATCGAAGTGTTCATTGGATTGAACAAGCTTTTGGATATTTGGGTGTTTTAAAACACTATCCGTCAATGCATTGCCCACCTCGTTCATCATGAGTATATGCTGAAACGGAGACTTTTGTTCCATTTGCACTACAGTAAATTTCCCTGCCAATATCCCTGAAAAAAGATTGTGGTGATTTATTATACACGATACAAATAATATAAAAGCTATTATCATTAAATTAATAACATTCTTTCTTCTTCATTATTTTTATCGAAATTGTTTTTTATAAATGAAATGTTTCTGCATTATACGAACGATATATATATATATATATATATATATATATATATATATATATATATATATATATATATATATATATATATATATATATATATATATATATATATATATATATATATATATATATATATATATATTCTCACGTATTGATTCACGGATGGAAAAATGTGATGACACTATATTCCGGGATATCATCCGTTCGCTCGTTGAACTCCGACTGGAATCCTGCAGACGTTTCGCCAAAATCTCACTTGGCATCTTCAATGCTCGCGCTCCGAAAACACTTCGAACACTGGGAGGTTATCGGCGGTGCGTGCGGTATTTATACTCTGAGAGTATAACTCTATTTATACTCTATTTATCTATTTATACTCTATTTATCTATTTATACTCTCAGAGTATAAATACCGCACGCACCGCCGATAACCTCCCAGTGGTCGAAGTGTTTTCGGAGCGCGAGCATTGAAGATGCCAAGTGAGATTTTGGCGAAACGTCTGCAGGATTCCAGTCGGAGTTCAACGAGCGAACGGATGATATCCCGGAATATAGTGTCATCATATATATATATATATATATATATATATATATATATATATATATATATATATATATATATATATATATATATATATATATATATATATATATATATATATATATATATATATATATATATATATATATATATATATATATATATATATATATATATATATATATATATATATATATATATATATATATATATATATATATATATATATATATTTTATAGGATGATTCTTAGGATTTGGTCCACAGTGAACAAAACTCACAAATAATTTTAAAACACTGTAATTGTCATTGACGTTTCGACCGGCAACCCAGGTCTTTCTCAAAAACTGCAAAACAAAGGACAAAAAAAGCGTCTAACACAGAATATCTTAAACAGTAGACATATACGAATTTAAAAATTACAAATATTATAAAAATAAATGACATATATTAGTCATACTCACAAATTTATTATTTTTTTTTTAAATGTCTATTATTAGCGCTGTTTGTGAAAAAGTACCACAACATACATCATTGCCAAAAACAATAACGTTCTTGCCTTGGCGTACGAATCACAAACAGAAGTGGAAAATAAACATTCATTGTATCTGATGTCTTTTTTTTTTTTTTACCTCTTTGTTTTTATTTATTTATTTTTTTAGAGTGTACGTTTGTGTTAAGTTTAAGATCTACTGATACGCAGTGAAGCATCTGAGCATTAAAATGGTCTACTTTAACAATTCGAAATAGATTTCACTCAGGTGTTTTATGTCGGTTTTCGCGTTTATGGCGTTTTTATTCCTTTGAATATGTATCATCTCAATTATTTCCCTTTTTTGTGTGTTTGGTTCGGTAGCAAGTATTTTTGTGTCATCGAAGTTAAAGGTATGTGTTTTCTCCGTTATATGGCTGCTGATGGCTGTTTTATTTTTTTTGTCGTACTTATGATCATTGATGCGGTTCTTCAACAGTTGGCTAGTCTGTCCAATGTACACTTGGTCACAGTCGTTGCATGGTATTTGATATACAATGTGACTTTTTTTATCTTTGGGTATTGGTGTTTTTAGTTTACTGAAATTCCTATTTAACAAATTTTGACCCTTGTGGCAGATTGTTACAGAGCTTCCCTTAAACACATTCGAGATTTTTTCCGATAAATTTGGTATGTATGGCAACGAACAATATTCTCGTTTTGATGGTTGTGTGTTTTCCTTAACAGAAATCTTGTTGTAGAATTTATGTATCCTTCTTTTAAAAATAGAGTTAATTAAGGCACTTGGGTAATTGTTTAGTTTTAGTGTGTACTTAGCCTTATATACAGCTTCTTTTCTGTACTCTGGATCAGATAGATTTATAGCTCTGTCAGCCAACCCGATAATAACAGTCTTTTTTTGTGATATTGGGTGTTGGGAGTGAAAATTAAGGTATCGTCCAGACCATGTATCTTTTGTGTACCACATCGTTCTGATTTTGTTTTCCTTGCGTATTAGTGTCATGTCTAAGAAGTTAATTTTGTCATCTTTTTCATATTCTATGGTAAATTTTATCTTTGTGTGATATGAGTTAAAACTATTCAGAATGAGGTCGCCCTTTTCTTTAGGTATTGCTAGGTATATATATATATATATATATATATATATATATATATATATATATATATATATATATATATATATATATGATGACACTATACTCCGGGATATCATCCGTTCGCTCGTTGAACTCCGACTGGAATCCTGCATCCGACTGGAATCCTGCAAATCCTGCATCCGACTGGAATCCTGCAGACGTTTCGCCAAAATCTCACTTGGCATCTTCAATGCTCGCGCTCCGAAAACACTTCGAACACACTCACACACACTTTTCGGAGCGCGAGCATTGAAGATGCCAAGTGAGATTTTGGCGAAACGTCTGCAGGATTCCAGTCGGATGCAGGATTTGCAGGATTCCAGTCGGATGCAGGATTCCAGTCGGAGTTCAACGAGCGAACAGATGATATCCCGGAGTATAGTGTCATCACATTTTTCCATCCGTGAATCAATACGTGAGAATATATATATATATATATATATATATATATATATATATATATATATATATATATATATATATATATATATATATATATATATATATATATATATATATATATATATATATATATATATATATATATATATATATAATATATATATATATATATATATATATATATATATATATATATATATATATATATATATATATATATATATATATATATATATATATATATATATATATATATATATATATATATATATATATATATATATATATATATATATTTTTTTTTTTTTTTCTTCAATTTCTCTTGGGTATTCGGTCTCTCGAAAACAATTAATGTGATTCTTCTAAATATTTATTAACGTTTCGAACGTAATTTCGATCTTTTTCAAAATATTCTTATTTTGTAGAGGTAACATATAACAATTAATGACATTTGACGTTGTGTTAATATATTAAAAATAAAAATAATTTGTCAGCGAATATTTTACACGGATTGGAATGGCATGCAAACAGGTACGGACGTTTTTTATTATTTTTTTATTATATTGGATAATTTAATTTTGTTAGTTTAAAATTGAATGATATATTTTGTTAAGGTTTTTAGAATCGGTTTTGTAATTAATTGAATTTTTGTTTTTTTGGATTTCTACACTTTCATAAAGTTCTCTTTTTTTGGTGTTAGGTTCTGTTAGTAGGACTTTAACTTTTTGAAAATTAAATGTGTTTGGTGTTTTAGCAATAGGTATGAAGAACTGTTTTGTTTTTTTTGTCATACTTATGTCCGTTGATTCTATTTTTTAAATATTGGCTTGTTTGTCCTATATATACACTGCCGCAATTAGAGCATGGAATTTTATATACTATATTGCTTCTTTTTTCAACTGGAATTTTTGCTTTGAGTTTAGTGAAGAGATATGTTTTTTGTAAATTATAACTTTTGTGTCCTATTTGAATTTTGTGTTCCTTGAAAATGATTTGGAGTTTTTCTGATAATCCAGGTATATATGGTAGCGATATATATTTTCTTTGACAATTTGGCGCTTTGTAGATATAATCCAAACGAATTTTTGCCGCGGTTGATAACTGTTTATGAGAATACATTACTCCAGTCAAAACAGAGGGTTGCAAAACGGGAACATCTCCAAAGAAGGCTAAAACAATTTTATGTGCAAACAATGTTATGGCTACCGTTTTTTTGGGATGTGAGAGAAATTATATACATTAATTACCTGAAAAAGGGTAAGTCTCACTGGTCAATACTACGCACGATAAGGCACTAGTGCATTCGTCGATTGTTTCCAATTGCAGATTTAACCCCCAGCGACTATTACCCGTTTAATAATCTCAAGACATGGTTTGGCGGTAAAAGATTTAAGAGCAACGAAAAAGTTATCGAAGCTGCAAATCAGTATTTTTCGGAGCTTGATGAATCTACTTTTAAAACTGATATAACCTAATTAGAACACCGTTATAAGAAATGTATCAGTTTTGATGGAGATTAAGTTGAAAAATGAAGCAAAAAAATATAAATAAAAATAAAAACATCGTTTTTCTTTGTCAGGTCGGAATTTTTTCACCCCGCCCTATATATGAATGCATGAATATGTTTTTTCTTTATTTGTTTAACATTATTACATTATTAACAAGACAACAAATAAACTATAAACGCGAAACGTCAGTCCTTGGCTAATCAGTCGAAAAGTTAAACCGTGCAGTACGGTAATATAAATATTCTACAAAAACAACACTTTTAATGGCTGATTGCACTTACCTGCTACTCCTCACGTCATAAAAAATGTCCTCAAACTTTTTTTTTTCAAAATCAAAAATTTAATAGATGATTTTAACGATATTCTGGACAAATTAACTACGGAGTATATCTTCAAACTAATAAGTATTATTAGCTACTAAGAACTAACTGCAATTCAATATACTTTAATAATTTACAAGTTATCAAAATGATGCCCCCTACTACGAGGATAATTCTTAAAAAGTGGTTAAAAATTGGAATGGTGTTACTATTTTTATTATTAGTCATAACAATAAAAACATGTACCATATTTTGTATCATTTTGTGATTCATTTTGGAATTAGCCATTATTTGCCCAATATTACAAGAAAATATAACACATAAGTTGAGACTGCAAATGTTGCAAATGTCAACAAAAAAAGTAAAACGATAACATCGTTCTGCTCCAAAAGGTGCAAGCTACTTAACTATAACTTGATGTAACATCAGATGAAACGTAGTAATAACAGTGATTTGAACCGAACATATGAATGGTTATGTAAACACAAAACTTAATATTAACACGTCAAAGTCTAAATTTTGTATTTTTGTGAAAAAAACAAAAGTTGAGTACTGTTAATATAGAAAAAAAAATTGAAACATATAATGAGATGCTGATACCCGAAAATAAAATGAAGTACCTTGGAGTCATGTTATACTCAGAACTAACGCTACGACTGCATGCTGATTTTCACAAAAACTAGGATTTAAATGTAAAATAGGTCTTTCCATGTACACAAAACACCTTTTATATAACAGCATTGCGGCACCTCATCTCAAATTTTGCTCCACACTCCTGTATAACTTACCGAACTATAAGATAAAATGAGTTTCAAGGAATTCAAAATAGAGCATTAAATCGATCTTAAAGTGTAACAGATACACGGTTAAACAAGGAATTATTTATGACGCAAATATTTTTATGTATAAGTTAACAATTAAACTATTACCTAATTACAATGATTTTATTTTAGTAGATCTGTTGTTTGTGGGTTTTGTTTTTTCATGCATTTTGTAAAACTTTGTAAACAATTGTTTTTGTATATGGCATCCCAAACTAATAAATAAATATTATTATTATTATTACGAGTTGTTTATAGTAGATGGCGTATTTAAACGACGTTGGTAACGTACTACGAATTTACTTTTTAGTCCGTGTCCGAGGGATTTTAAAAACATTATTTAGATGGCGCACCTTTTTTATTGTTCTAATACTTTTTGACATGAAGTTAGCTTTTATAAATGTGATGCTCTCTCATCATTAGAGTTATGAAAGCAGATAACGTTATAAAAAAAAAGTACGATATGAGAGATACACGACTTGGATATGTTTGAGATATTGGGAATTGCATGACATAAAAGAACATTGGCCATTGCTTTTCAAATATACTAAAGCGCAGAAAGTTCACTTACTCATTTTTTTTTTAATCATAAGTCAGAAATTCTGACATAAGTCTCTCGTAATGGAGCATCCGATATATAGCCCAATCCATAAAGAATGGGCAATCTCTAAACTGGAGGTACTAGACACCGAAATGTTATGATTAAGCTCAACTTGCCTCATACAAATGTCTCGGACGTTCAATGTTTCACTTTTACTCTAAAATTCCAAGCTCAACTTTGTTTCGATTAGTTAATGTTCACTAGAAAGGAAGGACTGAGGTGATAAAGCGATAATGAACGGGTTTGCAATAGTAGTAGATTCCCAGGGAAGTGTGTGAGATATATGAGATTAGTCAAATTCCATCATTTGAATCATTGCATTTACTGGAAGTCGTGAAACATTGCGCCAGTTTTTGCACAAAATGAGATTTAGATTTATAAACATTGATAAGCGTAGATGCATTAAGGAGATCCAACCCTTGGTGGAGTGGAGACAAATTCATCAATTTTGCGTAGAGAAACGAAATATATATTATTTAGACGAGACTTGGTTCTACACCTACGATGTTGTGGCGCATTTGGACGTATTGCATAATTTTCAAAAAGTTCGCTTGTCATATCCTGATGGTAGTCCAATAGCCAGGATACCACACCACATCTTTCTGGATATGGATGAATGGATATTCTCTTCCTGTAGATTCAGGTATAGGGTTATATTTTATACTTGCGCAAGGTTATACCACCTACAGGGGTTAACTGGAGTCACCGAGAAAAAATGTTAATACGAAAATTGTATAAGTTTTTTATTTTGAAAGAGAACACCCTGTATATTTTATGTTACGACAAAAGATCTCTTTCTCCTGATTGATATTTGGTTAAGCCGTTCTTTAATTATTTAAATTTTTGACTAACCAAACAGATGTTGATGGAGTTGTCCAGGCGTTCAGTGTGATACATTGTTACTTTAAATCGACGCATTCGGTTAGGAAAATGGATTACTTGGAGGAAGAAAAGCTTCTAGTATTTCGTTATTATTCCAATAACAATAGAAATAGCTGCAGTTGAACGGCAATATCGTCAGATTAATCCTGAGCAAGCCCCTCATCTGGCAATTTAATGAAACCGAAAGTCTCAGTCGACAAAAAAGAATCGTTGTTAGAAATGAAGATGACAACATATTAAATTAATTTTATATTATTTTTTAGGAAATTCTGAAAGTTCAATCTCAATTGTTGCCACATTATTTGGTAAATGGAAATCCACGTGAAATTCAACCCGTAAAAATAGAGGGTCGTAGATCAACTTTTCTTGATGGATATCTGACGGGCAATCGATATTTAGATTTAACTCAAAATATCGTGGAAAAGTATTTGGAAATTCTTCCAGTTCGCTAATACATTACATATATAGGCAATAAGATGGGGTACCACCCCACAGTTACTGAATACCTAAATGACAACTAAATGTTCGGACGATGTAAAAAATGATAAAAAAAGACATTTTTATATGTATTTAAAATTTACGCACATTACGATAGCGCTTTCTGTTCAGGCCGACCCCGTAAAATTACTGAAAGAGATCGTCATATTCTGGTCAAGATTTGTAAAACTAGCAGACGAAGCGTTTTACGGCAAATTCAAGCCCAATGGAATCACGAGGCAAACTTAAATGTCTCCATGGAATGTTGTAGACAATAAATGCACAAGTCTGGTTTGAGTTTTTATAAGGTAAGATTATAATTTTTCCTGTTTCAATATAAAAATTATTAATATTCTATGATCTACTTTTGTTAAAGGCAAAGGAAAAACCACTATTAACGTCTATTCTGAAGAAAAAATGTTTGGATTGGGCAAAATCTAAAATATCCTGGACAACGGAAACGTGGAGTAACGTTATCTTCAGCGACGAATCAAAATTTGATGTGTGTGTAGGTGATTTTCGAAAAAGGGTGATTCGTTCAAAATCTTTCCTTTCACAAAGATTGTCTAAAGCGCACCGTAAAATTTCACCAGGGTGTTATGATATGGGGGTGTATGAGTGGTAAAGGGGTTGGCAACTACGAGTTTATTGATGGTACTGAAAATGCAGAAAAATGCCAACAAATTTTATCAAGAGGTTTGATTCCATCAATAGAAGGATCTTGGTTTATGTGGTTACAAAATCCAACTCGTGCAAGAATTGAAGCCAAACGATCATCAAGTAAGGCGTAGATTTGTCGAATGGGCCCAAAACGAGATTGCCGTTGTTCCCGATTTTAATAAGCGAATTTTGTTTAGCGATCAAGCGCACTTCTGGTTGAATGGCTACGTCAACAAACAAAACTGCCACATTTGGAGCGAAGCCAATCCTCAAGTGTATGTTGAAACAACGTGACATCCAGAAAAACCGATTATTTGGTGCGCTGTATGGACTGGTGGAATCATTGGTCCGTACTTCTTCGAAAACGATGATGGCCAGAACGTTACAGTCAATAGCGATCGGTATAGAGCTATGATTACTAACTCTTTCGTTCCAGAATTGAATAACCATGATGTCCAGGGGATGTGGTTTCAACACGACGGCACAACATGTCACACAGATCGTGCCATAATCAATTTATTGAAAGACAGGTTTGGTGACCGCCTAATTTCACGTTTTGGACCTGTGAATAGGCCTCCAAAATCCTGTGATTTAACACCGCTAGACTACTTTCTGGGAGGCTATGTAAAATCATTGGTCTATGCGGATAAGCCACAAACGCTTGACTATTTGGAAGACAACATTCGCCGTGTTATTGCCGATATACGGCCACAAATGTTGGAAAAAGTCATCGAAAATTGGATGTCCAGATTGGACTACATCCGCGCCAGCCGTGGCGGTCATATGCCAGAAATCATATTTAAAATGTAATGCCACAAGATTATCTTTCGGATAAATAAAATTTATGTTAATCGAATAATCCATCGTTGTTTTATTGCAACTTAAAGTTCTATACATCGAAAAAAAAACACCCCTTAGTAATGCTAGTTATCAGAGCATTTTAGAAAAAAAGGACAAACGAATAAGAAAGAACTATTACAAGAGTTCCTTATTTAGGCATGACCTTTATTTTCATAAGATAATTATACAAGAAAACAACTAATTGTTATGGTTAACCAAATAGTATGATAAAACTTATTTCGAGAACGATATCATAAGAAAATGCGTTATTCTAACCACTATCATTTATCACTTATCAATTAGTCGCAATAATATAAATTCAAAAATGCCGGCCCATGTAATTGATGAAATGAAATGAAATGAAATGAAATGAAATGAAATGAAATGTGAATTAATGTCAGAGAGCAGTAATTATAAAAAAAAACTTGAGACAACCTCGGGGACAACGTAAGACTGTAATTATATTCTTGGTTGATAATGACAGCATATATTCAAAATATTCCGACGACTAATTTTATTGAATATGCCACTTACTTGTTTATGTATTCGCGTATTTTGTGTTTCAATTGCCTTATTAGTACCCTGGACCGGTTTGATTTATTAACCGAAAAGTGGGCAGCGAAAACCGTTATTACATTGAATTACATTGAATTTATACCAATTTTTCGAAAATATTGAAGGTCTAATAAAATATTTAAATAGGAAAGCTTGTGCTTCAGTGTAGTATACGTGTAATGCCACGACAGCCGCAAGGCGGGAAAAGTCGTAAAATCCTCTACGTATGTATCTACGTACGTATCTAATCATCGAAGAAGAATTTGGGCGTCTGTCCGGTAAAACGCCAGTATTTTTTAGGACACCTGATTTAATCGAAGCCACTTTTGAAATGTATTATATAGTTACGCTTACGTTGATATTCCTCCAAAAATCCAGTGAGTACAATTTTTCTGTAGCTCGTCGGAGGAGTTTTATCTTCAAAAAGTCCCACGTAGGTGACATCGAACCCATGTTCGGCAAGCCCTTTTACCAACGCTGTCCCTAAAATATCGTGACTTCGTGTCGGCAAAGTAAAGAGCACCAATAGTCGATGACACTTCACCCCAAACACGAGATGAAACACTAATAGAAATTTAAATAGACGCATGTTTAATTTGCCAGACGTGCACTAATAAGTTTGTCGGATAGTCAGCATTATTTATTTGTCGCTAAAGTCGGTATAATGATTATTTGTAACGGGTCGGCACTGCTATTTACTTGGTGTAAGCGTTTATTAAATATGCGATAAATTTTAACATTTCAGGAGATTTTTTCAACTGTTGCATTAAAAAAAAGATTGTTTAAACTGAGGTTAAAGAGTTCGATCACTTGATGAAGCTTTTCTTAAAGATACATTGTCTAATTTTCTGGTAATTCAGTTAATTGCGAGGATTCAATCGTTAAAATTTGTTTTTGGCCAACCGCTAATCTTGTTTAGTTATCTAGTTACGTTTGCCTTAGTTTAAATGATATGAATAAAATATCGTAAATGTATATCTGTTGGAGAATGTTGTAATAACTGATAAAGGTTATCATCAAATATAAACCATACAGAGTGAGTCAATTTTCAAATTTTGTATCCAATTTTACGCACACCTAATACCTATCTCTTAATTTTCATGGGCAAAAAAAATAGAAAACAGGAATTTAATTTTAAAATGAACCAGTAAGTAGCTTGTTAAGTACAGTAACGAAAGTGAATATCGCGACTCTAAATGAAATTCAGAGAATTGAACTTTTGAATTTTTTGTTATTTGTTGTGTCGATCGGTTTAAAAACTTTTCCAAAAACTTTCTCCCCAGATTTTCATTACTTTACTTATTTTTGTTCTAATTCAAAATTTAGAAACTTCGTTTTTTTATTATACACATTTTATTTTGATTAATTCCCAGTGGAAAACATTGAATACTTATATTGTTCTTATTTTTTCCGGGAAATGTCGTATTGAAGTATAAGATTTTTTATCGGGCATATCAGACTGATTTGGATTAGAAACTGCAAAATAGGAATTAAGGGATTTTGAAAAAATTGAAATATATTATTTTGTTATTCAAAACCCAAGCCGAAAAATTTATTTTTTGTGGATGTTGTGTATGATTGTTTCACGGATCCCAATTATTTGTACTCCAATACCTACAATTTTATTAAGTTTATTTACCGTACTAATTAAACAAAAATGAGCTTCATCACTTAACAGTACTTGTATTTCGATCATAGTTTTATAAAACTGTGGTATACTGTTGGGATCATCTTCGTTCAGCTCCTGTAGTAATGTCACCTTGTGCGGGTTGTCCGATCTCAAAACTCGAACTTTAAATTTGCCGCAAGGGTGCGACTGTATTCGCATGCGCGGTAGTTGTGCGATCACGCCACCTGTGGCGAGAAAAACAGTATGCGTTTGAGTATGTATCCGTAAGCAGCATGAGTATGTATTCGTAAGGCATATGTACGAGTGTCGTGTAACAACAATAAATGTTCAGTTCACTTTTGAAGTATTCAATCAATCAATGGTCCTTCACCAGCGCAACTAGGTGGTTAATGGCAAGTGCGTAAATTAGTACGTGCACCATAAGACCCCACACGGGTGATTATTTAATACATGCAAAGCTATTTTCTAGCATCACTATTTGAAACTACTTCAGAAGATGCAACTTCACCTAATATGTTTCATCTTGTTTTCTTGTTAGTTTTTGTTTTGATTCAATAAATTTTCTCTGAATTTTGCTCACTGTGGAGCTTGTAATGTCCCTTTGTGGATATTGTGAGTGAAACAAATTACAAAGTTCTTCTTGAGTTCTCGTTTCGTCGCCATATCCAATAAAAATTAATCAATTCTCTGGGTTTCATTTAGAGCGCAACAGACAGAAGAAATTTATGTCTGTTTTTTGTTCTTGTCTTATTCATTCACTGTATAATATCCCACACGTTCTGATTTTCGCGATAATATGGTTTCTTTCTATGAGCTATACTAGCTTTTTTCTTTTACTGTGAAAGTCCGTCCACGTTTTGAGGAAAACGCCTAGTGTAAACAAAAACTTTTAAAATCCGGTACTTTTTTTGCAACATTTTGACACCAAAATTTTTAAAATCTGTTAAAAAATTAGCTCACATGAAGAAAAAAAACAGATAAGTAAATACACATATATTTTCGTGTCGTGTGTAAAAGCTCATTTTGATTATTCAGTTACTTGTTCCAAATTGAACTGCAAGTCAAGCGCTGTTCGACCAAATGTATTACCTTTAAAACAATATATAAAAATAACAAAACAAAAATCGTCCAAGAATTCTAGGACATAAACTTAAATAAACGCTGGACAAACGGCTAACCAACCACTCCAGGAGCTACTGTCCTGCTAGTTCCAATTCTGGCACTGGTTTACTGCAAAAAATGTTAAAGAAAAAATTATATACCTCATTTTGAAACAACATTTTTCCATATTTTAGCAGCCTGCTCTATATTATTGCCTACGATGAGATAAGATAAGGTTGAATATTTTCAATAGGTGACGACTGTTTTGAAGGTTAGGTGTCTTATAACAATAGGATTACTTGAGTTACATACATGCAAGGGTCTAAATTATACTTCTGCCGGTTGATGGCGCTCATTACTAGTTTATTTTGTTTATTTTCCAAAAAGTTTGCTATTCAGTTTAAATGAGAATTAAATTCTCTGTACGAGAATTCAGAAGAAAAATCGGCTCTGCATTTTGTTCAGTGGCGTACCGGGAGATAATTTAACAGGTTTTATCAACTAAAATTACACGTCACTCACTCTTTTGTGATTTCTATTTGCTTTTTAGACTGAACAATCCAAAATAACACGTTTTTATTTCTTCAATTCTTCTCGTATATTCCTTCATTTTCGAGAATATAAATAAAAAAAATTGTTTGGACTTCAGTGATGTTCGAAAATGAAAAAATATACGAATTTAATTGAAGACATGAAAAAGTCTTATTTTTCCTTGCTTAATCTAAAAACCAAAATTAACATTACAAAAAAGTCAGACGCGTGAGTATTTTTTGTATATAAAATTTGTTAAAGTATCTCCAAGTACCCCACCGAACAAAACAGTTTTTTTTTTGCTAAATATATAGAATTGAATTCTCGTTTTCACTTTACAGAAATAAATATTGATTTCATTTGATTTTTTTGAAAAAATTCGTTATAGTGACAGTTAGGGCCATCTAACGGCGACAGTATAAGGCTTAAAGGCTTCTTGAAGGGCTAATCACAGTCGTTCAAATAAGATCTAGTTATGAGAGTTTTTCTATATTGAAGTTCACGCTTCCCCATCACCTTATTTGAAGAGAACAAAAAAAATTGAAGACAAAAGTTGTGCGTGATATGCGTGGGAATGGAGTAGAACTAGTGTCGATATAGTTCATTTGTGTAAGTTATAGAGAAAATAGTAATTTTTATTTTTGCTGGACCAATAGAGCCCCTAGCTAATGCAAAGAAAATTTACAGCATTTTCACGTGGTCAATTTTATTATTAAATTTTTTGCGCCGCGTTATTTAGCCTTGTGGTGTGTGAGATACAGCCGCTATCTCGTTTAATTAAATATGTTTGATACCGCACCTGATTGTTGCCCGACGCCGGTGGGCTCCGTAAGACTCCACACTGTATTGTCAGGGTGACTTGGATTATGGCCACTAGCTTTAGGTTAATATATATAATATTATAGCTATAATATTATAGCTAGCTCTTTTTAATACACAATAACGCGTTTTACCACAAACCGAAACTCAATTTTACATACTCGACGCGCGTTTCGCCAACCAAGTTGGCATCTTCAGGAGAAGATTAAAACTGTTTTAATCTTCTCCTGAAGATGCCAACTTGGTTGGCGAAACGCGCGTCGAGTACGTAAAATTGAGTTTCGGTTTGTGGTAAAACGCGTTATTGTGTGTTAGTGCAGTGCCGACGGTTCCGGTTAAGAGTTTGAGCTCTTTTTAAGTTTAATTTTCAAACAACGTAAAAATTAAGACTGGAATAACATCTAACATAAGGCAACACGAAGATGTGGCGCATCCTTGTGCTTCATCACATACTTCATCCAATAAGCTGCTTGTTGAATGGAGCTCATGGGTCGATCGTGAAGAACACTTGACCGATAGTTTATGTTATCTCTGTATCTACAACTAATGAAGAACACAGTTTCCATCGTAATTATTTATTAATTATAAAACTTTCTCATATTAATTGAAATTAAATGGAACCTATTTTTTTTGAAACGGTTAAATTTATGAACAAATGTCAGGAACAGCTATAGCCTCATCATTATCACTAAAATTATGGAAACGCTACGTTGATGATACTTTTGTTATGGTCAAGAATCTCTCCATAACACAGGTTTTAAAAAATAATAATAAATCTCCCATTCTGATCGGTCAAAATCCGTTGCTAGGGTAAATACCTATTATTTTACATTTCAATCGCAAAAATGTATCATTGATTTGCGGATAAAATTTTATGAACAGAAAATGTTTGACTTTGAACAAAATTGAAATAATTGATAACTCGAAGATTAAAATAATTGCAATTGGCTTTAATTATTTATGCTTCAGTGTTCAAAATAATGGTGTATGTGCAAGGAAAAGTAAACAAAGAGCTTAACTTTGACAATATGAGTTATTTCTTGAGAATATTTTCATATGCCGTAGGCATACGAGTATAACAAAGTTTATTTGTCCTAATTATATCTTCAAACATTGCCCAGCTGCAAACTCACCACATAACAAGAATTTCAACATATTGAATTAAAAGTTGACATCTGACTGTCTGTCGCAATAGTACGGGATTGGTCGATATCTTCGAAAAGGCTGACATACAATAATGTATAAAATATTTATATTTCTGTTTTTTTCTTGTGTTATTTCAAGTGCTACAATACTTTTTTTTGTGCGAACTTACAGAAGGAAACAATCAATGCATTTGATTTTGATTGGAAAGGTTTTGACTATTTGACTTTTTTTTTATAATTCTACCTATGCGAACAAATACAATTTACAATTTTAATCATCTTTTAATTATTGTTTTTATTAAATGTATTACTACGGTCACTACAAACATTTCGAATTCACATATAAAAAAAAATTGAAGGGAAAAGTTAAACATAAAATTTCTCAAAAGATATTTCCCCAAAGCGCTTAACTAACGCTCTGTATAATATATCTGGTTGCTCACTGTGAATGATCTATTTGAAATATGCTGGGAACATTATTAATTCCCACTAAGTTGGTATTACCTCAACTACATAGGCGTAGATTTTTAGGTTTATAATATTGCATCTAATTTTGTTTTTTAATACGGCCCATATCATTTTTATAGGATCGAAATTACTATGATGGTCTTTAAAACTTTTAATTTTCAAGTTCACTTGTAATGTTCTGAGCCGTACTTCACTTTTTTTTTGCTGAAAGCACCCCACTTTTCCTTCAGTCACAGTGTAAAACGCAGTTCGATGAAGACTTTTGCCACTCTTTCTTTATAGAGTTATGATGGTCGAATCAAGCCTCCTCTAAATAATAAATATTTCTTTGATAAATTTGAGGTATATATTTTCTTTAGTTTTGTGCATTTCGTGCAGAAATCGGCGCAATGTCTTACGACTGCCAGTATATCGGCCATTTTTTTTTAACTTTTGTTGCAATAATTCAAGTGGCGGAAACTGATACTGTCAAACATCGCACCAACTTCCCCACTTCTCTGCGAATCCAATCTATGTCACTATACTTAAGCACTTTCATTATCTCTTGTCAAATCGTTCCTTCTTTTTTAGTGAATCATGTGACTCCGCTGCAATATAAATATACATTATAAAATATTCATTATCCTTCTTTGCTATGTTAAAACTTCAGGAATATTATAATAAACGTTTACTGATGTTTTTTGAATTTAACTACGTAGCAACTGCATGTGCTATTGTCCGATAATAAAGACAACATTATTAGTATTATATAAATTTTTCCTTCATATACTTCTCAGAGCACATATTCAAATGGTTTTGGTTCATTACTCCCCTTCATTCCGTTATCTAAATTGTCTTCAACTCACGGTCACAAAGAATAATTGTAACACCACTAATGGCCTAGCGTAATTGATTTAGAAATTTCTAAGGTGTCGACACTACTAAAATAAAAATACCTCCCTATACTGATAAACGGTTTATTGAAGGTAAAATGCACTCCGTTTAAGATAAGTTATTGAATTTTTTAGATGGCACGGTGTTCTAATATAAAATTCAATATTCGTAACCCAGATTATTGAAGTTTCCATATACCTCTCTTTTTCTCTTTGAAATAAAAATATGATGGATGGATAAATATGATGATATATCAGCATCGGAGTAATAAAACAAGAATGGCAGATAGGTACAGAACTTGCGTATTATAATGTGAGTATTTAAGGGAGCATGTGCTATAGAAAAGTTGTTCATAATTAATAGCAAAATCCAATTCCACAACGGAAAATATAACCTTACTGTGTGTGCGTAAGAACATCTAAACAAGTAGTTCGAGTTGAATGCTAAATGAAAATTTTGTAAATGCATATTCGATATATGTCTGCCCTCCCTCCACGCATGAAGATGGAAAATGTAAAAACTGTATGAATGGTTTAGTAGGTTAGCTGGGGTTATCCATTTCCGAACTCAGGGTAATGGCTGGTACACAATAAAAATATTGCGACTTTCAAGGCAAGTCATTTTAACACGATGGTTCAATTGCTAGTACATTCTTTAAATCTTGTTTACTTATACTACCCCTGAAGATGAAATAGAATATTAGGTGTAGCTTTTTTTCTGTATATGTACATGAGTAAATGAAATAAAAATTAATCAAATATTTATGTTCGAAGTAGATAATTAGCCAATACTTGTTAATAGCAATATAACGTCTGCGTCTAAAATTCATATATATTTTGGCAGTATATTTTATAAATTATAGTCGTTTTCTATGGATTTACGATTTAAAACTAAAAAATGAATATAAAAAACATTATTCTCAAAATGAATGGTTACAAATTAACATAAAATAACGCAATTCAGTTGTGGAAGTTAATTAGAAAAAAGAGAAAATTAGTTGCTGATCAATTTGATTTTATATCAGGACACCTACAAGAATGGAACAGACAAGAACTGCAAGTATTTGCAATAACGGTAATACAAATTCGTGATTAAACAAAATACGGATTCCAACGAAAATAACTAAAACAATATACAAGCAAGTTGTTAATGGTAACCGACAGAGAAGGTCCCTATAATGGAGACCTTATTTTACGTAATAGCTAAAACGATAGAATTAAAATTTATACTCTGAAGGTGAACCGAATTCAAATATTTTGTATTATTAATAAATATACTTGGTTGAGATCATTTTCCCTAGTGATTATTTTTTTTAGATCTGTCTGCAAATAAGTTTGATAGTTGCATATATATAAAAACCTTGAAAATTTGGTTACCTTTCATCAGTTACAGCTCCAAATGCTCTGTCGATTTTTGGCATATTTTTCTGTACCATAATTAAACAATTTAAGATTTTTAGGAGAATATTTATACAGCTAACTTTTAATTAAAGTTTTATAGCATTTCTCTTTGTAAGTAAAGCATTTTCTTCGGTGGTCATTTCTGAATTTTGCATTCTTTTATTAAATCTACGGCTGGCTGTTAAAATAGCATCATCTTGACATGCATTTGCATATCATTAAATCGTCTGCAGACTTTCATTTTCAACTAATAAAAATATTAAGAAAATAATGTTGAACTTCATTTGTTTTTATTGAACAAGATTAATTCCTAGATGCTAGTAATTGTAATACTATTATTGTCCTTATTTTTCCTGCGATGACAGCAAGGATTCACTTTGCTAAAGATGCACTTTATATTCGCGAAATGAGAGCAAGGTAGCAATTGATATTAATACGTAATAATAAATAAAAATTTCACACAGCATCTTAAAGTGACTTTTGGATGACTTCTAATAGACCATGTACGGAAATGTGCTCGGAAATGTCAAAAAAGGTGATATTGACAGAATAATGTGAGTATTTCGCAAAAGAGTCATTGGTAGGAAAGAGGTTTTTACATTCGTATTTCGTCGTTTTCCCAGAACATTTAAAGAGATCTAGGTATATAATACAGGCGTAAAAATGCCGCATCCAAACTTATATGCGGTCTTTCAGCGGCCATATTGGTTGTTGAATACCACAAGGTCATGTTGAATGCATCTTGTCACAATTTTTTTCGTAGTTGCTTCATAAGTTTATGTATTATTGGCATAGGCAGGATCTCTATACCTCTAGGTAGCTATATGGCATGCTGCAAAAAACAAAACATTAATTTTAAATGATGGTTCTCGATTCAGTTTCACGGGGTATGGGGCATTACGAGCATTGGCTTTCTTGCGTGTTGTGATTGATTTTTCTTATTTCATTTTAAAATTGATTGAAATTCACATGCCAATCTCAATTTGTAAGCTACGTGAATTTGTGCGATGTGCACCGGCCATTATACCGATGAAAAAATAAACCCCGACCAGCCTGCAAAACCTGTTTTTTCAAATGTAATAGCCTTTTTATCTTCAGACGTTCGACAGGCATTGGAAATATGCATTTGTTTAATATTTTTTTACTATTTCATTTTTTGTATAAAGTCAGGTGTCATCGAGTGTTAGTCCTGTTTTCCTTGCCGATGCCTAGTCATAATATTTTGGGGACGGCTTTGGCAAAAGGACTTGTTGAATATGGGTTCGATGTCACCTATGTGGGGATTTTTGAAGATACAATTCCTTCGACGGGCTACAGAAAAATTTTGCTTACTGGAATAGCGGACGAGTATCAGCGTATGTATCTTTCTTCCACTGAGTGGTAAAACACTGCCAATGATAGTAGTATAGTAGATGACAGTGTATAGTGACTCACTTCTACAAGTTTTCGGGTCAGGGGTTTGTGGGCGATCGGGTATTTTCGGGAGTTTAAAACATTGATGGTATTTTTACTTCTTGCATATTATGCTAATAATTCCTAAATCGATTAAAATTACTTAAATCTATTTTTTACAAAAATTAATTAAGCAGTTAGAAAAACAAAATCGTTTGGTTTTTACTTACTAGATTGTGCTTAAAAATAAAAAAAATGATTTGGCCTGCAGAAACGTGAATTTACACACTTATTTCTTTTACTACCTCTGAAAGAAATTTTTGAGTTAAAGAATTATTGTGATTAGTTTTTTTATAGTTCAGGTAAGTGAAAAATATTTTACATCGTTATTTTTAGTTATTTTAAATACAAAAGAAATAAATTTTGGTATAGGATTAATTTACATTTTTAGTAAAGTTGGTGTGAATATTAGGTTACTTTAGCAATTTTGAAGGCTTTATAGATCTAAAAGCTGTACACAATACCGCTATACCTTTCGTTGTAATTAACTACGAAGACATCATCACAAAAAACGATCAAGGAAAATTAGAACGCCGAATTGAAGACGATAAAATTGGAGATCAAACTGGTTTTGAAAATGATAATGATTTAAATGCTTTGGAAATAAAAGCCTGCCAGTTAAGTAAAGAGCCTCTCCGAACACTTCGAAGTGTTTTCGGATCGCTAGCATTGAAGATGCCAAGTGAGATCTTGGCGAAACGTCTGCAGGATTCCAGCCGTGGTAAAAGATTATGAATTTATTTCAACTTTAAAACATTATTCAAAGTATCATTAATATAAGAAAAATTTTACAGGAAACCGACTTACTTTTTTTTCAAATTTTTAGGAACATCTATATCCCAAATACCGGACCTTGTTACACTTACTTAGATATTAATAGAAATTTTTAAAATGCCGACATAAATAACACATCATCTTCATCAATAAAACAAATAAAACACTTTTTGTGTGAATATCGAGAATATTGAGAATTTAACAATGATTTATGAAAACCCTTGACTGAATAATTAAAAAGAGTTCAAATTAAATGAAATCTGCTACGTACATTGTTAAGAAACTAAGTAACAATATAATTCGATTATTAATTCAATTTCAATAAACGCTGAAATTCGCTACGAGGGTTGGTTTTTTCATAGAAAGGGGATGAGTTAAGCCTGTTTTAAATCTTCGGATCTGTATTTGGGTTCCCATTGGGAGTTAAGTAATAAAATTTCCAAACTATAATTTTTTTTTCTTCTACTCATCTTTTTTATGACTGTATAACCCAGAGGGAAGACAACCTACCCTAGATAAGTTTTCTATACTTAAAAGTAAAAAACACAACCTTTCCCAAATAGGTTTCCTATATTTAAAAGTAATTTAATTAATCATAGTGTAAAAAAGATTTTTCATAAGAATGCTTTTAGCAATATCTTTTTTCTACCCCCTGCGGTATAATCGAGAGAACATGAGATTGCTCCAAAACCCGTGCGGTTATTTCCATGAAATGTATGTCCGAAGGAGCTCAGATCGTGGAACAAGAAACTCACGTGCTAAAGTTACGCTTTCCGGGGTATACTTCGGTATTTTACAGGCGGGAGTTGAAAAAGTATAGTATGCAATACGTTTGGTAATCTTTTCAAGTCACTAGAATGCTGGTTAGCACCTTTGTTGCATAATATACTACTAGCTCTAAAATCTAATCTCGACATTATTCAGGCTTCTTATCTATTATAATCTGTGAAAAAAACCACTTTCTTTAGTTGAGAGTAGATTTTTCTTCCATTTTTCAGATTCCAGTCAAAATCGGCTCCTCTAAAACATATCGTACCTAAAACCGCATCAAAATTGCAAATATCAGCTTAAACCATCATTTTTTGATACAAAGAGTTACATATTCATGTCAATATCTTTCAAATACTAGTCAAAATTGGCGTCTTTAAGCATTATAGTAAGGAAAACCTTAATAAACCATTAGATTTCAACATAAAACCCCTTTTCTGAGTCAAATAGTTGCCGATTTCGATAAGATCCCAGTCAGAATCCGCTTTTTCGCCTCTTATTGCACGGAAATCTAGCAATATATATATAGTCGGTACGATTTGTGAGTACAGAAAAAAAGAGATTCCTTAGGTATACCACAATTGTTTAGTGATCAATGCAAGGCAGCCGTCACTAACGATTATATTACTTTGGAGTAAGAGAGATAGAATCAGTTGTACTTTGCGCTTATTAATTCAACTAGAACGCCCATAGAGATGGATTCATGTATTTTCTATGTAATAATAGAGCAGTAGGTGATTTAAGTAGGTGAATTCACATGAAAAAGTTATGAAATTTTTTTAAATATTCTATTGTGCGAAAACTCTGTCCATGCAATAAAAATTAAAACAATACACTATGCAATACAATACAGCTTTTCCAATTTTCTATCTAACTCATAATTCCTTTTTTTCTTGTCGATACATTTGGTACAAGTCTAGAATGATATCGTGCATTACCTATAATTATTCGAGTTTCGGCGGCAGTTTTTCAAAAATACGACCCTGTTTTCTACTAGACACTACTATAATTATTCGATAAATCGTGCTATCTCTGTTGAGTGTAGGACATAACGGCGTAATAGACAAGGGTAGAAAGGTAAATGGCTGGGTTTTGCCATTCTTAGTATACGAGTGGAAGCAGGTAAAATATTGGTTTTATGACGGATTATGACTCAAATGGCAGTTACCACACTTGTTGCATAACAAATTATTTTTAAACACGGTGGAATTTATACGTTGCTTCAAATATAAAAGGTTGCAATAATTTAAACGTTATTATTTCGCATTTTAGGGATACTGGCAGGTAAATTTAATATGGTGGATATGGAACAAAAGTCTCCGTTCCAGCATATACCCCTGATGAATGAAGTGGGGAATGCGTTAACGGAAAGTGTCTTAAAACATCCAAACATGCAAAATATTCTTCACTCGAATGAACATTTCGAGGCCGTCATCATTTCTCAGGGTCTAAATGATGGATTAAAAATACTCGCTACCCATTTCGAAGCTCCGCTAGTAATTTTCAGCAGTTTGGGTCCGAATCCTTGGATCAACAATGTCGTGGGCAATCCTGAACCTCCCAGTTACGTTCCAAATGTATATTTAAGATACTCCCCAGAAATGAATTTCTTCCAGCGATTTTACAATTTTGTTTTTGGTATCTACAGAAAATATGATCTAGATTATGTATTTTACCCTCAACAGGGTAGAATCGTTAAGAAATATTTCCCGGAAGCGCCAGATTTCGACGAAGTACTGTACAACGTGTCACTAGTTCTTTTGAATTCGCACGAAAGCGTTACGCAGTCAGTGCCTCTAGTGCCAAATATGATCAATATTGGAGGATATCACCTACGTCCTCCAAATAGTCTTCCTGAAGGTTTAAAAGAATTTATGGACAATGCCACAGAAGGAGTGATATATTTTAGTTTGGGATCCTATGTAGATCCTTCATTCATACCAGATTCAACATGGGGAACAATTTTAGGAGTTCTGAGTTCGCGAAAGGAAAAAGTACTTTTAAAATGGCCTTACGATTTCTTAGCAGATCAGCCACACAACGTCAATATTTCAAAGTGGTTCCCTCAGCAAGATATATTGGGTAAGTGTAGAGGGTATTTTAGTCAAAATCCATTTTCTAAGCTACTACTTTACATGTTTCGCACCGTTAACGTGCATCATTTTAGCTCATCCGAATTTAAAACTCTTTATAACGCATTGTGGACTTCTAAGTCTTACCGAGGCTGTTTATCATAGTGTGCCCATTCTTGCCATACCGGCAATAGCAGATCAAAAGTTAAATGCAGCTCACGCGGAATTTTTCGGTTTCGGAAGAAAAATATTTTTATCGGAAATGACCGAAGAAAACTTTCAAAACGCACTGAATGATGTTCTTCATAATCCCAAGTAAGTAAACGGAAAACTCTGAACAAAATTAATATTAGTACAGAATAGGTTCAAATTCTAAATTCAACTTACGGGATACAGCACCTACTCTCACAATTGATCTGGAAGTGATGGGAGTCTTTATTTGCCTAATCAGTCAGTCCCGTGATGGTGTGACCACCAACCTTGGGACATGTTCAAAAGATTGTTAATATTATCAACAACAAAATCATTCCTTATTGCTGTCCACATATTACTCCGATTGTAAAATTTTGACAATTCAAAGAGGCTTGCCCTAATATTTGGAAAGAAAAGTAGGTCAAATCATCTAGAAAATCTAACAACATTGTTTTTAAATAGATTAAAATCCGATAATCCACAATCAAGCCATCTTATCTTAATTGAATAATTCTTGTCTGGAGCATATTTTTCTTGTAACGGTCAAATTTTTGAACAAATATCAGCTATTTGTTGAAGATTTTGAGGAAAAAACTCGCGACACCTTAAATCTAAACCAAAGTTATGGAATTTTTACGTTGATGATACATCCACACATACAACATAGGACATACCATTGATATTCGAACCTAATAATAATTTCTCATAGATAGATATTTTTATTAATAGAAAATCAGACCTGACATTGGGTTATTTCGTTTATAACATTAAAAGGCCTTAAGAGTAAACTCAACCGCAGTTGATGAACACAACCATTATACCGGACATCAAATCTTATTAAATAAAATTAAAATTCTTGCATGTAATCAATTCTTCTACCAAAGAAAAATCCAAGAAATCTTTAAAAAACCAATCTTAACAACGACTCAGGTTATAACTTTCACCAATATGGCAATCAGGTGTCTAAGAGAATGTTCGTGGTCCTCCTTTACGCCCCCTCAAACAGAGATAGAATGCGATGGCGTAAAATGCGATGATTTGAAAATAGTTATAGAGTAGCTTGTGCAAGTCTCCTTGAAAAAGTAATACGTCAAAGTAAGTTTCGAAAAAAAATGCGGCTCTTTTGAACATAACTGCTGATAAAACGAATTTGACGGTTCTAGTTTTAAGAGACCATCCAAAGCGTTCAACACGGTAAAGCATACTTTGATGTCTGGTATCTTCAAATCTGTTGGTTTCGCTGACATTCTCTTAAGGTTATGGACGAATTGTCTTGTCCACAAATCTGATAGAGTCAAAATTGATTAAATGATTTATCTCGTGCTAGGATCGTTATTGATCTTTTTCCGCTGGTTTTTTAGGTTCGTTGTTTTTTTTACTCTGTCTGTGTCTAATACTGTGTCTGATACTAATATTTTTTTATCTATCTATCTGCTCTGAGAAAGAGAAACATGTGAAAACTTGTTAAATAATAACGCACTGTACATCAGTACCATAAAGAAACCTTCATGCATGCTTTCTTGGTTGGTTAGTTAGTTAGTCAATTTATTCCAAGTAAAGCACGTAATTTCGGAGTAATCTTTGACAGTCTACTTTGGTGCATATAAATTGTTGTATAGATCATCTGCTTTGTTTAACCTGAAACCTGAAAGTTGAGGGTAACCCTCATCGTGAATCGTTAGAAGTACTTTGAAATAATGATGTTAGACAGTTTAGCGTGTATTAAACAAAAGCAAAGCACAATCAGTACAAGATTACATTACTACCGAAACGCAGATGATCCCGACTGTAGACGACAGATTTGTGATCATCAGATACTGTTTAGCGATTAAGCTACGTGTTGTTTAAATGAAGCGGTAAGTAAGCAATATTGTGTGATGTGATAATATCATAGACAATATCTCTCAAAAATAAATGTTTGGGTAGGGATTTTGAATGACAAAAACATTGGCCTTTTTTTCTTCTGTCAAAATCTTACTGGAGCCCGATATTTGCAATTTCTTCAAAATGATCCCATTCCTACTCTCGTACGTTCTTTCCCAAATAGAAATCAGCCTGACATGCCAGTTAGAAAGATGTAGTTTCAACAGGATGATACTGTGCCCCATTTTCTACAGCCGATTGACATGAGGGTGCATATTTAAATATGGTATTTCCCGGACTGCAAGGTCCCCAGATATTACTCCGCTGGATTCTTTTTTTCTGGGGATAGTTAAAATCAAAAGCGTATAAGGCAAAACCGCAAAATTTAGATTATTTAAAATGTAGAATTAGACACGAAATAAGTCAAATTAAGCAAAATATCCTGAGTAATGTTTGGAAGGGTTTTTAACCGATAATATTGCCCAGAAGTTAGGGGTTAGCATTTTCAAGACACAGTTTTACTCGCCACTAATAATTGATTTTTCTGGATATTTTGAGTTAAGCAACTTACAAACTTCTTCTTGAGTTCTCGTTTTGTCTTCATATGCAATAAAAATTAATATTTCGATTTTCTGCGGAATACACCCGATCGCTTTGAATTTGCTTTTTAATGAAGCTAATGTAGAGTAGAAAACATTTTTTAGCAAATGTTAGTTTTTTAGTTAGTTGTATGTGGTGAAGATATTAAAGCGGTATGTATTTCTTTTAATTAGATTATGCCGTTTTTGATTAGGTTTACAAATTTGTTTTAATTTTTTAATTAGAAAATAAGATTATAATGTTAGAAAACTGTGTTAAATTGTATTTTAATTACCATTTATGCATACATTTACAGTCGTTTTTTCTTTTCTCCAATCTCGCTTTAGATATAATTGTTAAGAAATTAAGCAACGAAGTTGATGCTCTCTGAAAACTTTGATTGAATTGTTACATAATTTTAAGTTCAGACGACTTTGGCCTTGACTGGAACGTGTATGGTTTCTAATGAATACTAGTTACTTAATGGCATTGAAAGGCGATAACAATTCTAAAAACTGCATCGATTGTTAAAATTGTAAACAGAGTTGTATGTAAATTTTTTAGACAATAGAATTTTAAAATTCATGTCAATATATGAATATGTTCAATTTCCGTTTTTAGATACAGAGATAACATAAAATATCGATCAAGTGTTCTTCACGATCGTCCAGTGACCCCCATTCAATTGGCAGCTTACTGGGTGGGGTATGTGATTAAGCATAAGGGTGCGCCACATCTTCGAGTTGCTGGTGCCCGGATGCCTTTCTACAAATACCTCATGTTAGATGTTATTGCAGCCATAGTTTCCGCCGTATTTATCGCATTATTTTTAATCAGAACAATATTTGGAAGAATAATGAAGCCCAACGCTAAATATAAAGTGAACTAGCTGTGATACTGAAACTTAAACGCTTCGTATTTAATAGAATTGTCATATTGTGAATTAAATAAATTAAAATTAAAACTTTTTTAATCCAATTTTTATTTGGTTATTTCTTGATAGTTCTAATGGGTACAACATTTTTTTAGATATATGTGGGGCCATTGTTTCTCCAAAAGTAGACAAGGATTAATTTTACTGGCGTTTTGAACTTCCATTGTCTAAAAAGAACGTTTTTTAACACTTATCTAGCCTGCCTATTTTTAACCATTATTTTAAGCCTTCTTTATTTGGTTATTTAATAAAATGTAATGTTAATTTTTATACCAATTTTAAAAACATGGAAACAGTACTTGCGGAACATGGAATTTAGTTTACTAAAGATGGGAGAAAATTGATTTAGCAATGTAATGTGGGTCAAATTTTGAATTTTATTTCTCAAATGAAAGCGGTAGGTTAAAAATCTAGCTGCTAGATAATATAGTGGCCCTACCACAGTCAAAATTGATGCGCCGCATTGATATATTTGTAGGGAAGGGAATGACTTTTCACGCATGACTCTGTTTTTAATAATAATAAATATAAACGTTTAGTGCTAGCAGCATGAAAAATTGCAATAGACATACATAAGTGTAAGTAAATTAGGAAAATATGCAGGCTTGAAATAAAAGCCTCATCTAAAAGGAAAAATCATTGTTCCAGATAGCAAAGATTAAGCTTTATATAGTAAGTAGATAAACAATAAATATTCAGCAGGGAAGGAAAAGGGAGAAGGTAGGAGTAAAAGGAGAAGTTGAATAAAAATGAGCGAGTATTGAGTTGGAAAAGAAAAATATGATCTTCTAACCTTTTCTGTGTTGGTACAGTCAACAATTCCATATCACTCAAATTAAGCTCATGGATGTTTGCTCTAAAGGAAATCTTATTAAACAGATAGCGAGATGACTTATTTTTAATGATCTTGAAACAATAAGACGCCATATGAATCTATTGTGCATATCGAGCCAGCAGTCTTTGAATTTCATAAATCAATCTCAACCATGAGTTTTGAAGTTTTTGAATTCCTCTTTTATCGACTGGATCAAGGCAAGGGCTATGAACACTGGAACAATGGGTCAGCTGTAGACTGGGAGGCTGTTAGTCGAAGAATTTTATTCAATTTTATGAAATGAACTGTTTTGCAAAGTAAAAAATTAGCGGAAAGAATAATTGAAGAATGCGGTAGTTACTTAGAGGAGGGTAATATTTTATCTATCGTCTAACAGTACCTTTTAGAAAAAAACTATCCTCATCCAAATATTCGTATTAATTAAAACATAGAAATTTAATAAATGGAATTTGCAATCGGATTAACTCCCATTGACAGCAGGTAGAAACAAAATTCAACTTCAATTTGAAATTTTTGGCTAAAAGTATTGTTTTCAAAAAGTAAATAATTGTAATTTGTTTAACATGTTGCTTTTCAAGTTTGCCATGGCAACGTTAAGAAGTATTTTATTGGTTGAAAATTGATGGAGTCAAATTTTAACTAATAATACCACTAGAGATCAAATTATTTATTTAATATTTTTAATAAATTAATTTTCAAAATAATCATGGGTTCGAAAAACGTTTCGGATTTAATTTGACCTCGAATTTTACTGGAAATTTCTATAGAAACGTGCTTTGCTCTGTAAATTTGTCAACAAAATCAATTTTGATTGTTTAAAAACTAGTGGTGTGGAATTTTCTTAACGAATACCACATTAGGTCAAATTAAATCCGGAATTTTTTTGGCCTATAGTGGGATTTTGTTGATAAATTTTCAAAGAAACGCATGTGTCTATAAAAATTCCTGTTAGGTACCCACTAGGAAATAAATTGCACTAAAATTCATGCGTTGCTATGGAGATCTGCCAAAAATAAAAAGCGTTTTAATTGGTTAAAAGTAATAAAACATTTTTTTTGAAAATTAGTTCTAACTTTTCTACGAACAATTTCTTTGAATTTTCTATTGTTGATTTTGACATTATTATATATTCGCTAACAGTTTTCTGAAATACCAAAACAGAAAATGACCAAAGTGCTAATTTACTATATATATAGAATAAATATGCTTTTAGCAGAATATTTTCACTGTTATCAATTTCAATCAGTGTGTTTGTAATAGCTGCAGTGTTATATAGGAATTCTTGTATAAATGTCTATGAAATAGTTGTAACATTGTTCTTTAAGAATTATTGGTATTTTGCTCATAGAATATTCCCATAATAATAGCACATAACGAATTGCTCTGTGCTTCAACCTTCACAAAAAGAATTTATAATTTTACAACCCTAATACAATAACAATGGAGCTAAATAGTCTTGTTGCTTAAAAATTATAAAGCAAAATTGTTAGTTGAAAGCTCGTTGATATTCAAACTAAAAAATGTTGACGTTGGCAAAGCAACCGCCCTTGGGGAGTTGACATCCTTAGGGAGTTGAAGGTTTTGCTATGTTTTTTGCGGCAACAGTGGTGTTAAAGATAGACCGGCACAATGTGAAATTTTAAAATGTTCGCTATTTACAATTTATTAGCAACAAATTGATTAAAGAAAACTCGGTATTTTCTTTCCGTATAAGTCAATCACGAATAGCGTTACTAGGAAATCACACCTTTTTAAACAAACAAATCTCATTTATCTAAAGGTTCACACATACCATATTAATTGCTGTTGCAATTATTAGCGCTAATGCTAATAGAACAATTTTTTGTTGAAATAAAGGTGTTATCTTTGTTTCTAATCATTTTAAGAAATACATTTTATTTGTCGTTATGTCGCAAAAGGCCCTCTGGTGGCGATACAATAGGTCTATTTTAGGGTAACGTTGACGACCTAAGAAACGCTTTTTTCGGCGACCCCAAGTTTGATAAAATCCGTTCAGTCATTTTGAAGCCATTGATATTTATTTAAGAAGATGTTCCCCAACACCTTCCCAATTAATTAAATTTACCCCAGCTTTAAGATGGCATATATTTTAGCTATTTGTTATATAAAGTTGTTTCTTAAAAAGCAGGATTTAAAATTCAAAAATGCTAACAGGCCCGATGGCATCTATTCTGGAAATTTAAAAATAATTTCCAGCATTTTCTCTTGATCGTTTGTCATAAGGTTTTTCACGAACGCGGAGTGCCCTTCTTCATTGCCCACCTGGTGCATTAAGTGTAATACTTCAAACATTAGATTAAAAATATAAAACGTATATTTTGTTTTCCAATAGCATCAAAGAGTAAAGAAAAACATAGGACAAGAAAAATCCATTGTTGGTATTTCAGTGCTCCAAAATTGTTTTTCTCATTCACCATTCAAAGAAATTTGAGAGTTGTTTTCCTCACTTAGTGAGTTGAAGGTTGTGCCATGCCTTTTGCCTAAAAAGTTGCGTCAAAGATGGGCCACCAGGGGTTTCAGTACAAGAGAATAACGAAAAGCCTTGCTTCACACATATCATATCATATTAACTGCTTTTGCAATTCCTAGCACTGATAGGCATGAATCAAAACGGTATATTGTGCTATCTGCATTCTGCGTATATGTGTATAAGCTAGTTTAAGATCTAATGGAAGTTTCTAGTACCCAAACAATATATTTCCGATAAATGATTAAATTATTTGATAAGTTATGGGCATGCAATTTCGGTAGTTACCCATCATTAAATCTACTCACATGGTTAACGCGATTGAAATTTAAATATTTCGAATTTCGTGTGGACAGTTGGGCAATATTTAACCATATTGAATGAGTCTTAATTATAATTTACATTTTAAATGTAATAATATATATATTGTTAAGAGAACAAAAATGTGTATGTAATGATAGTCTATCCTGAAAATATTCTCAAAGATATGAAATCATATCTCGCGTTTGCTTGGAAATCTTTTGTTGAAATAAAAGTGGTATCTTTGTTTCTAATTCCTTGAAAAAATAAAGTAAGTTTTTCCTCAAATTCTAGAAATTTTTCACTAGGGCCTCCTTAATTGCCCACCTGGTATATTTCGACATATATTTTCTTTTCTAATAGCATCAAAGAGTCAATAAAATCTTAAGACAAAAGAATTGAATTGTTAGTATTTCAAAGGTCCAAAGTTTTCTACTTCTACACTATACTAGTGAATCGATTTTGAACAATGAACAATCAAAAAGCTGTTTTGCCATTCACTATTAAAAGAAATTTGGAGGTTGACATCCTGACTTAAATGGTTGAAGGTTTTCCCATGCCTTGTGCCTCAAAAGTTGCTGCAAAGATGAGCCACCCGGAGATTTTCTTTCCGTATAAACCAATAACGGATAGCCTTGCTCGGAAATCATACCTATTTAAACAAACGAATCAAATTTATCTAAAGGTTGACATATATCATGTTAACTGCTGCTTCAACTCCTAGCTCTAATAGGCATGAATCAAAAATGTATATTATTATATACATTAATTTGTCAGCTAGTTCACTATGTATAACACTTCTAACATCCGCCTACCAAATTTCTTTTCTAATAGTATATAATATAAAATAAATGAATGTTGTCATTTCAAGGCTGCAAAAATTTCTAAACTAATTAATCTATTTTCATAAACTAAGCAGTAATGTATAGGGAATTGAAATGCCGTTTTTTCCATTCACTATTTAAAGGAATTGGAGGGTCACTTAAGGAGTTGAAGGTTTTGCCATGCCTGTGGTCTCAAAAGTAGCATCTAAAATTTTTTGCTAGTTTTTTTAGTCATAACAGATCCACCAGCCTGCCTACAAAATCTCTCCTTTAAAAACAAATAAATCACATGCCATGCCATGAATCGAAAAGTCATATTCTACGCAATTATCAAATTAAGCTATTTTAAGATTTAATTGAAGTTGGCAGAATAATATAAACTATATTCTATATTACAAGTTATGGCCGGTGCAATTTTGATAGTTACCCGTCGTTCAATCTACTTGCTGCAATAGATTATGTTACTACGTTATTCGTCTATGATCGCCTTTACTTGCGATCGGCAGCAGAGAAACCGAAACGTTCCGGTACTACAAAACACTACGCAATAAAAACCATCGAGATAACATCGAGTTTTTCCGTTAACAGACCAAATATGCTTAGTCCTGTTGATAATGCTATTAGTAGGGAATCAATTTCTGTGGTGGATATTTCTTATCGGTTCGATTTTGCGATGTCAAAGTGCTCGTATACTGGGAGTTTTCCCCATGACGGGCCGGAGTCATTATATTTTGGAAAGCGCCCTCATGAAAACGTTAGCAGATGCGGGACATGATGTAACCATAGTGAGTCCCTACGCCGAAAATTACGTACCCAGAAATGGTAGTTACAGGGAAATATTGCTAACGGGATTTTTGGAGGCATATGCAGGTAAAAATCGCATTCTATACGCTCATTGCGCGGATTCAGGAACACCGAATATGTTATTGCGCATTGAAATTTTGAATTGACTGCTAATACAGACTGTCAATATCGCCATTTCTTACCGACTTCATTTTGTTTAGCCTCTGTTAACAAATGTTTGTAAACATTGACCCAATTTTTGTGGGTACCAGACAGTTGGTCATTTTTTTTAACAGGTTTTTGCGGATTTAAGGTTCTTTAAGATTAAAATGTAATAAAATGCATGTTTGAAAATTTCGTTTGCCAGTTTTCTCCTACAATTTTGAAATTGATGAATTGATAGTCGATACACCTAATACAAACCTTAATAGCTGCCAATGCATACAAAATATAAACCTCAAATGTTAGTTACCATGCTTATTTTAATTACATTTGCAAATTTTCGCCTTAAAAATGTTTATTTACGGTGTAAAAAAACCTTAACGTTTATTATACAGTGAATAGCTAAAATATAGAACAAATTCATTTAAAAATTGACTATTACATTTCAGGAAAAATGCTCGAACACATCTATCATCATTTTTTATTGCGCATTTTTTTCAATAAACACTATGTATTCATTTACTACTTTTTATGAACAAGATAATAAAAAACAGAAATTTAATTTTAAAATGCCGGTAAAGTTCTTAAACTCGTAATTATAGTTCTGTCGGTAATGATTCTTAACATGGCGAATCCAAATAAAACCGAAAAAATAGAAATTTTAGTTTTATTCGGTATAGAGACAAAACAAGAACCTAAAATGTTTTCATTTTTTAACGCAAGATACCTATACAATTCAGAGAAAATTTACAGTGCCTGTAAAGGATCGTCTACGGCCATATATATGCAATGCACTTAAATGGTGCGGTAAATAAACAAAGTTATGGGTATTGGGGTACAAATAATGCACAACATTCACAAAAAATAAATATTTGGGCAGGGATGTTGGATAACAAAGTTTTTGGATCTTAATTCTTCGATGAAAATGTTATCGGAACTGGATATTTACAAATTTAGATTTGGTTTCAACAGGATGGTGCACCATTTTGCTCGAAGAAATATTTAAATATGGTATTTTCCCGACAGTGGATTGATAGATGGGGATAAGTAGAATGACCTGCATGATCTCTAGATATGACTCCGAATTTTAGCCTCTCCGAATATTTAAAATCAAAAGTAAATAAGAAAAAACTACAAACTTTAGATGCTTTAAAATTTAGCATGAGATTCGAAATGAGGCCATCCTGGAAAATTTTGCAAACCGTTTAGTATATTGTCAAGAAGGTAATGGTAGTCATTTGCAACACCTAATAAAATAATTTGTATGGCATGCCTTGTTTCTATCATTTCTTTTCAATTTTAATTAATGCAGATGTCGTAGTTGGTATTTTCAAATTTTTTACTTTAAACAAATTACAAACGCCTTCCATGTCCGGTGCACGTTTTGCCTGTATATCAAATAAAAATTAAAATTTCCATCCTCTGAGTTTCATTTAGATGCTCCATATTCGCTTTCTTTTGAGTAAGACACAGGTATAGGGTATCCTGCATGAATTACGAGTGCAGTTTGTCGCAAAAGTCGAAAATGGATTTGAAAAAATGGTATGGACGTTGGCGAACATTTCTCTTGATTTGCAATAGCTGGTTTTTAAATGAATTTCTTCTATATTTTTGTCGTTTATTGTATATTGTACGTAAGTTGGAGGCAAAGAATGCTGCAAAACATAAGAGGCAGTCATCAGATATCAATTTTAAAGTATATCGAAAAATATTATTAAAAAAATGTTGATCAGAACTACGTTCAAATATTTAATTATATCCAATCACATTAAAAAAATAGTACTTGTGCTTGTTTAACATTGTTCTCATTTTGAATGATTATGTATTTATTGTGATAGACTTCGCGTTTCTTAATATATATTTTTTAATTTTCCAATTTAAACAACAAATAAATGCATCGGAATGAATCACAATATTGTATTTTAGATTTTAGAACATGCCTAACTTTTTATGGAGACTTTGATGATAATAATAATAATAATAATAATAATAATAATAATAATAATAATAATAATAATAATAATAATAATAATAATAATAATAATAATAATAATAATAATAATAATAATAGTGGTAATACTAATAATAATAATAATAGTAATAACCTTGTATAAGGAAAATTGTCCTTGAATAGAAATAGATAATTCTAGTATCAGTTCAGCCCTTAGATGTAGTATACAAAAAGCCATTAAGGTTTACTTACAATTCATTTAACTGTTAACCAAAATAAATTATTAAAACTGCCCTTCATTAAAAAGAAAATTTTTATATACAATAACCTTCACGCATTCTGCCAGGATTTCAGTTTTTGAAAAGGTCTTTTAAACAACTTCCTACACTTATCTGCCATCTTGCCAAATACAATAAAAACTATATGTGCCATTGGAAATTTTAAATTTGCGACACACACAGTCAGAGCCGGCAAAAACGAAAATATTTTTAAATTGTACAGCAAGACCAATTATGGCTATGTCAAGTTTCACAACAATATCTATTTACATCTTATAAAATTTCTACTGGACCGCCACCCTGGAAAAGAGTAAATTAAAGAAAATTCACTTCGCAAATATGTGAAATGAAAATAAAAGTTGTTAAAAGTGTGTATATAACAAATAGAGAAAAGTAAAGGAGGAATATTTTACAATATTTGGAAATGTGATACAGATTTTCCGTTCCCTTCATCTAATCTTAACGTGCCTGGTTGATTTCTCTATCACAGAGCCCTCCAAATATTGTCGACTTCTTAAAGGCAAACTATTTGGAATTACTATGCCTAAAGGTCAATAATTAAATATGGACAGAAGTGGATATTTATTTTTCTAATAGTTCATGTGCATCAAAAAAAACATGCTTTGTATATTAAGAACAATCAATGATTTACAATCTAATAGGAATGTGCGGCAATTCCAAAAACCCGTAATGTGACGGTTTTCTAGAGTGTACCATTCATATAATGTTGGAAATAAATTATTATTGCAAAGACCGCAAAACGTAATTTATTCATTTGCTATTTTTGCATCCTAACATTACTCTATGAATTCCACAGGACAGCATTTTGTATGTAGCATGAGACTTTGAAGCGGGGATAACTTATTCATAGTTTAATGAGATTAGTTTCAAACTTTAGCCTGTTTCAAAGCAAAAACCAGCGTAATTCGAATGAAAAGACATTGCAATTTCTATATTTTTTGCAAAATCCAATATAACAAAAAAAGTATTTTTTAAAATGATTGTTTCAACGGAGAGCGGAATAAAGTATTATTGGAACTAGCTTATACAAAGTTCGAGTAATTAACCGAACTTTTACAATGTGTCGACTGATCTAGGTATATAACTAGTTTTAGTTACACGGTGTGCTAAATATGTAATGATAATATAACATAATAAAAGTAAGAAATGTATTCTAACTTTATTATGCATGCAATATGCAGTTTTAAATGCTAAATTTTACAATTCCGACTTAAAAAACGTATGCAGAAAAAGCATAACAATCACGTCACAATTTTCCCTCTACTTATGGTTGTTGATATTGTTAACATGTCGAAGAAGTGTGTAATTGTATAACCGAGGAATAAATTCTGTCACCACTAATTTGATGCTAATATAACTCTTTACGGAAAAGGACGGAAATTTGGAATTAGGTAATGGCCAAGAAATCCTTCATATGAATATCTGGGCATCACATTCGACAACACTGGAATAGATGCAATAAAATAGAAAAACGGATAGTCAAAGCCAAAAAAGTAATAGGGACTCTGAATGGTATCCTATGGAGCAAAGAAATATCCAAGAAACGGAAATTTAATATCTATGAACCAATGGTAAAAAGCACCCTTCTATAAGGATCAGAGACATAGAGAATTTCCGATAGACATAAGAAAAGGGTTGAGGCTATCGAGATGGATGCAATTAGAAGATCAATGCGCATTTCACGAAGAGAAAGAATAAGAAGCGATACCATAAAACAACGGATGGGATTAGAAGGCACAATAACGCAGGATATAGAGAAAAAACAACTTACTTGCTACGGACACGTGGAAAGAACGTCAAATACCCTATGGCCGAAAAGGATACTCCACTGGCAACCAACAGGTAAAAGAAAACGAGGCAGGCCAAAACTAGAGTGGCGAAAAGCTATGCATAAATGCATGAGTTCTGTATATATATATATATATATATATATATATATATATATATATATATATATATTTACTTTTTTTTATCGACTTTCGTCGAAATTCGATTAATATATCTATATATATATATATATATATATATATATATATATATATATATATATATATATATATATATATATATATATATATATATATATATATATATATATATATATATATATATATATATATATATATGATGACACTATATTCCGGGATATCATCCGTTCGCTCGTTGAACTCCGACTGGAATCCTGCATCCGACTGGAATCCTGCAAATCTTGCATCCGACTGGAATCCTGCAGACGTTTCGCCAAAATCTCACTTGGCATCTTCAATGCTCGCGCTCCGAAAACACTTCGAACACTGGGAGGTTGTTAATTTCGCCCGATTGTAGTTGCGATGTCCCCGTTGGCTGCTGCGCATCGCTCTGCTGTTTGATTATCGTTCTCCACGTGTTGGATAAATGCAGAGCGTCGTCTCTCGTATTGAGGTGTCCGGACTTTTCTATTTCGATGGCCTCTCGTATAATCCTAGTCCTAAAATCAGGAATATTAGCTATTTGTTTGCAAGTGCCGAAATCAATTTTATGGCCTGTCTGATGTTGGTGCTGAAACAACGCAGATGTTGTTTGTTTGTTTCTTATGGCTAAACGATGTTCCTCGAGCCTGGCTGAAATTCTTCTGTTGGTCTGTCCCACATACGTCAGGCTGCACGATCCGCATGCTACACTGTATACTCCTTGGT